TGAAATCAACCAAATGGGCGGATGCAGGGAACGATAGGAACAGTTGGTGTGACAGGGCAACTAGCCCTCCTATGCCTCCAATGTAGTTGTTTTTGCTGTGACTCAAGCATGCATTCTTACGGCGGAAGAGATGGGGATGCATAGGGAGGCAAACCCTCGAGCAGTTCCGGCGACCCATATTGGCATTTAGGTACGACATTCTAGGGACCCTTGTTGGGCAGAAGTCTCCGGGAGAAGGGCCTTGACACTCGCAGCCGATTTGATTGTGCTCGCATGCTTGGTGAGGCACACCCCCTGTGGGCCCGTTCAAAGCATCCTAAGGTCCAAAGACTCTATATGGGCACAGCAACGAGCTGGCTCGGGCAGGTCGGGGAGCGCAAAATATGCGAGTAAATATTTTTTAGGAGTGAAGCTCCTAAAGGCGTGGGTCTGTCCATCCCTTATATGTATGTATGTATGTATGTATGTATGTATGTATGTATGTATGTATGTATGTATGTATGTATGTATGTATGTATGCGTCTATGCATGTACGTACGTACGTACGTACGTGACCGCCTATAGTTCGACCGTTGCCATCTGCCCACAACTTCGTCCTTGATAACATCCCACTACGCCCCATCACCAATCCACCACTTCACCGACCATAAAGCAAATACTGTTGAGAAAACAGCCAATATGAAATGCAAGATGGTCGTGTATTTGTACCCAGGTGCGCATTAAAGAACCATAGATTGTTCCACTGTGTCCATCCTTTGTTTGTACGTGACCGACTATAAATCCCCCTTTGCAAACTGCCCACAATTTCGTCCTTGCAAACATCCCATCACTATTTCCTCCAACCCATTTCGTCCATGCAAACCATGCCTCGTCACCGATCCACCACTTCACTGACCATAAAGGCATTATAATGAAGGGGGAACGGAAGCGACGTATAGCTACCACTTACGAATAATAAAATTTCTTGTATAGATATATACAGTGTTTGTCACATCTTTGATCACGTAGTGGGTGATATTTGCGAATGGTTCACGGTTTAGCAATGAAACCCTCCAGTGCTTCGCCCCACTCATTATGATTCACTCCATAGATATGCTGTGATTTTTTATTTACTAAAGCTGACAATATATTAGGGGTGTGCAAATTATGCGAGTAAATGCTATATTCTGAAAACTTCCTTGTCCTCAATTCCATCATGGTGTTTACTAATATCAGAAGAAATAAAAGACTGCCTTCACATTCAAATTTCGTGCTAAAATCTCCTATGATGTTCTGATTTCAAAGACGTGCGCATTTAAGCAGCTCATTTTATTTTGTTAGACACACATTAATGGGAAGTATCAGACAATGATGCCAAGGAAAGTATAGCAGATGTTACTAGTAGTAACTGCAATGTAAACATGAAGAAGAGAAAAACCATTTCAAAGTAAAGTTTTTTTCATATTTTGGCAACATTGGTTCAATGAAGTATCCTGAAGCTTGATGTTCTATGTCTCTGGCTACCTTGGAGGGCAACGCACTTCATACTTACCGATTAGGAACTATATGTAGGTCCTAGCAGACACCATAAAAATTTACGGCGCCACGATGATTTGTACAAGAACTTCAAAACAGTGCTGCCAACAGCATTTTTTTTTTCGCAGCATTTTTTTTTCGCAGCATTTTCTTGCTCGCCAATGTATCTTGTTATAACAAGCGTGGTGATATTGGTGGTGTGTAATTGTAATTTACTAATACGAGAAAAAACGTTTTTTTTTTTCTCTTCAGTGTCTCCTCTAAACTATGGCGCATCTCCATATTCTTGGCGTGCCCCAACTGCATGCATGATTTTAGTGCATCCCGTGTGCACACGGGCTGCGCTACCCCGACCCCTGTGCATTACACCCTCAAACCTCAATATAACAAACACAGATATAACGAAATATTGGTTACAATTAGGTAAAATAAAATAGTCTTGCAGTGAATAAAATGTTAGGAATAACCTCTCTAACGCATTTTTGGATATAACAAACTTATTTTCTTGCAAGACGCCACTTTGTTATAATGAGGTTTGAGTGTACATAGTAGGTCTCCTATAGCAAAGGCAGCCGATACCAAGATCAGCTGCTCTTTTGGTGCTTTGAATGAATGTGAACGGACCTTTCTTCATGCTGCACGGTATCATGTGTGATGACGGGGCCTTCTGTGAGCGTGGTCCATAAATATTGTGCTTTTCGGAAATAGACAACCAGTTCAAGGTTAGTGCTCATTTTGTTTGTCCACATTGTCTGACTGGTGTAGTGGAATGCACCCATCAGATGTATGCAACTAACCAGCCCATTAAGGCGTACTTTTAGACAGTACATTCGAGCCCGCATGTATTGAATCTTAAAGGAAATAACAAAAAAGGTCCTATATACAGGTTATTCAATATATGAAAAACTTCATACATTGAAAGCATATTCAAAAAGATTTTGCAAGTACATACAAGATTCTATATACAAACTTCTTTACATGAGGATTCGATATAGGCGGAATCAACAATACAAGGCCATTTTTGTGTCCCCGACTGACAAAGTTGGCACCGGGAAATTGTAGAAACATAAGAACGAGGTTCTACTGTACAATGCCAAATAAACAACTCCTCCCGACTCAGATTTGTGTTGTTTTACCCTGCACGTGGAAACCTAATCTGGTAGCCATGCTTCCAAAGTTCTCAAGAGTTTTCACAAAGGCCCTTAGCCACTATCTCCTACGTGTGCACACCCAACAATATTTGCTCATTTTCGTGCAAATGCATTGTTTGCAGAGGCTGATAATGAAATCTAATGCAAATAAATGCCTACTTTCTTGTTCTTTGTCACATTCATAGCTAGTAGGCGGTCTCAAATGCTGGCTTCGACCATATTTGATGCAGTATGTCATCAGTGCATTTTTTTTTTCGCTTTCTCAAGAAACACCGGTGTTTTTATTCAGACTCAAAGTGCACTAATGTAAGCCTCAAAACAATTACTTTTCCACAGTTTGCGATTTCAACATTACGCTATCCAGTCTACTACCAGTAATTTTACATTATTACATGCCTTTAAATGCCTCAGTCATTATGCGAGAACAGCCAAAAAGGCCTTTAATAGCCGAGGATTTGAGAATCACAATGTGAGACAATGTCAAAAAACTAAAACCAAACCAAGCAAAAGAAGACAAGCATTTATAAAAAAAAATATGTATATATAGTGTATATATAAAAAAAAAACTTATGTTGGATGCATTTATCAAATGGTTGCTCTCAAAGCATACAAAGCATGCACACATCTGGCTGAGAAGAATGTCGTCTCTACCATCATGAGATGCTAGAGCGACGAAGCAAGGATGGGCCTTCCTCTGAAAAACTGATTATTAAAACTTCAATCCCCGTCTGCTTGTCGTCTGTGTTCACTACCGCGCAGTAAACATCAATTGTGAAACCTAGCTCGCTGCAATGGCAGCTTTAACCACGGAACTGTTAAAGCAAAGGAGAATAGCCGGAGATCTGTTCTGCAGGCTTTCTTGCCCACCTGTGAAAGTGAAGCCTGACAAGATAGAGACCAAGGATAAAATAGGGGGGGGGGGGGGGGGGAGCCCAGTGTAGTGAGGGTTAAGTTAGGTATAAAGCAGGAGAGCAAAGGCAAAGTTTATGGCAGGAGCGGAGGGAGCAGCCGGTGTAGGGAAGAGGAGAGATCAGGAACACGATTGGCTGTGTCAGTGAAAGGAGCCGACCAATGGCAGGGTGCCTTCAAGCACAGTAGGTGCTGCTGAGAGAGAAGGAAAGGCACGCTGATGCCACCAGCTCCACCTTTTAATGAGCCTTTGTTCCAGAAAGCCAGTTGAAGCTGCGCACAACTTTCAATAAAAAGAAAACTGGAAAGTAATCTAATTTGAGATACTTGATGAAAGAGAACACATTTTGGTGAAAATCATGCAAGAATGAAAAACAGGCACATGCCAATCGAGGAAGTATTGCTTCACAAGCCTCTTGTTTCCCCGCATTCAAGACATTGTTGAAAATGAGATGCAGTTAAAAGAGGAAGCATACTGCAATTTTAGGAGCTTTTTATAAGCCTGAGCATTTGCAAGAATCCTAAAACAAACTCATTCCTTTGGGCCTAACCTATTATTACGCTTAGTGCAGCATAACACCTCGAAAATGCTACAATGCTAAATGATGCATTGCCACCTGTCATACCAAATGCGAATGAGCAAACTTTTCCTACATGCAAGCACACGTTGAGTGAGCAAAAAAATGTGAGCAGCAGCTGGCCCAATCATGTACATCGAGAGGAAAACAGTGAAGTTGGCTTTGCTGCAACACCTTGCTGCCCCGAGAATATGAAAATCGCTCCGTTCTAGTGAAGAAGGCGCTATGACGTGATCAATCCTTACTTTAAAGGGGCCCTGCAACACTTCTTGAGCATGGTCAGAAACGCTGCAGATCGGTAGTAGAGGCTCCCGACAACACGCGAGCCAAATATTATAGCACAGCACACGGCCTGGAATTCACAATAAATTACCAAAGTCAGCTAAAATTGCTTTCTCTTCTCTCGACAAATGGCGAAATATGCCCCAAAAATCAAATGTGAATTACCCATCTATCAGCCATTGACTGATTTGAACATGGCGTGCTCACTCGTTACAAAGATCGCCGCAAGAGGCCGCGGCTGCGACTTGTGCACACGTGAGCGCGCGATCGCGCCAAAACGCCAAAAAAGCGGCGCATACGAAAGAAAAAAAAAAAAAAAAAACGTGCTAAAGGCCATGAGGCGCGTGTGACGTTTTTCTGTGGCCCTGTCATCCCTCCCTGCTTAGCTTCCAGCGCTTTCGTCGGGGCGAGAGAAGAGAGAATGCCATTGCAGCATGCGACAAACCTTTGTAACTCCACTCGCACTGGACGAATCCTTAAAATTTTTGCGGCATTGAATATGTGAGACAATAAGCTTTTCTAGTGAATTCATTCCGTGGTTACTTGAAAAAGCGTTTCAGGCCCCTTTAAGCAATCTGCAAACATATAGAGGATGATCCAGAAACGTAGCCAGAAAAAAGCACATTTTGCTCGCACTTCACCCTCTCCCCTGAAAAAAAAAATTCTGCTCTCACCCTTGCCCTGAACTGCAGCTTGGAGACTTGTTTCACCGTTTTACAATACCTCTGCTATGATGAAAAGCCTGCTCGAAGTGACCACAAAGCAATTACGACAGCATGCTTCATACCAATCTGTTAGTACATAAAAATGGTAGACATAGCTAAAAAAAAAAGATATCCTTGAAACGAGGACAAGGCTTAGGATATGTCATTTCTGAAGGCCACATCCTAGAGTGAATGATTGAGCACGTGTGTTCCCACAAGTCCAAGAGCTGTAGAGCTCTGTCCTAATGTTGGCTACATTTCTGAACTAGCTGTTTACACAGACATGCTGTTGAGTGGGTCTAGATGAGCAAAAAACATGACCTGTTTCATCCTTTGGTTGAGGTCACTATGCTAGCTCTACTGTGCAGGACACTTTCTCAATTTCAAATGATACATCGATGCTTCTGAACATGTGACACTACATTTAAGGTTTTTCTCATAATCCATCCCTGTGCGCCGAGATATCGAAATTCGATAAATTGAGCATTGAACCGACAGAACACCCATAGTGTCCTAAGCCTGTTGCACGCTTAATGTAAGCGAGATAACCCAACTCTTTTTGACGGGAATATGAGCCTTACATGAGCAAATACATAAATGAGTCAAATGGATTGGGCGTAAACAACTGATCTGCAGGGAGTTGGGCGAAGAAACTCCCGAGGATGTGCAAAGCCCGCGCAGCGCAGCAAAAGAAAATCCCTGCACTAATTATTCCTACAAATTGAATTAAAACAGGGAGTTTCTGCATCCATAGTGCCCGGGGTTCACTCGGGAAACTTTGTGTACCGAGACTGTACAGCGGGAAGTCTCGGTACGCGCTGCAACTGCCCTCACTCAGTTTGCTTGTTGGAAGGCAGCCACTGCGGCACACGGCTCTGTTGCTTCAGTACCCGACCCACTCCCAATGAAGGACGTATCTGACATCTATCCCCTGGCTTCTTGCTTCGGCTGGCCACAGTGACTGCGTCGACCCATCACTCGCGAGGGGGAGATTTCACTGCCGGTGCTTCTGAAGACTTCGCACAGTATCCTTGTTTCCTAGACCGGTCTATCCTCAGGACAACCTGTCCCGATGCTGCTGTATGGCTTTCCAAATGCGGAGTTCGGGACCCAACCTGCGAAGAAACGAGACTCGACCGGATCACTAAAGTTGTACTCGCAGTTGAAAACTTTTAGGACTGCTAATTTCGAGACTGCGCTGCCGTGAGAATTATAAAAAAAAAAATCAATAAAAAATGCACATTCTCAGAAACTTTCATACCTTTATTTGAGCCCTTTTTCTTTTTTTTTTCCTTCTAAAATGTGTATTACATCATGAACTCCCCATGGTGCTTATTGCTGATGATGTAAAACAAACAATATCTGCTGCATGCTAAAATTGTAGGCTTGCACAACTTTTTTCGGCGGTGAGTTATTCCATTGTTGGCCACTTAAGTGTTAACAAAGTGATAGCTACTTGAGTAATCAAACAGTATTTTGAATTTTTCCATGAAGTCTAGTGCTTTCTGATTTTGGCTAGAGTTTTTAACGTTTTAAAGGTAGCAGGTCTGGCCTCTTATGCACCTTCTAAGTATCAAGAGCAAACATGCTTCTTTTCAAGCAAAAATAACCTGTAGTTCTGCATTTTGTAATTTTGTTTTCGTCTTACTTTTCGCCATATTTCATACCACAGAAGTTCAACGGTACACTAAAGCGAAGCAAATAATCAGTTTAAACTGACAAGTTTAACGCTGAGATCTCTGCTGTCGACTTCACCTTCATAGGTTCAACAGAGAGAAAATTAGGATCAAAGTTACATTTTTATATTTCGTGCCGGAATCTCTCCAAGTAACGTCCTAGATTTTCGTGTGACTTTGCCAACAATGAGTCAATGAACTTTTGTGAAATCTGGCATCTTAAGACTCTGACCTTGTTGGAGGACTTAATTGATTGCTTCATTTTTACCTTTTGGATAGGCCCTTGCCCATACCATCAAAGTCTATGACCTCAAGGAGCCTGGTTTGGAAAGTTGAAGGTGGCATCGCCATCCGCATTTTCCTTTTCAAGTTTTCCTGCTTACTAAGTGCCTTGTTGTGGCAAGCCTAACATTGTTAGTATTGTGAAGGAGTAACTTACTAATACAGTCGAATCCAATTTATTCGAACACGTTTAATTCGAACTTCCGGTTAATTAGAATGCACGCTGAGGTCCCATTAAAGCTTTGTGTACTCCAATGGGCGAAAACACCCCGTAATTCGAACATGCAAGCACTTGCGATGGTTAATTCGAACAAACTGCGCTCTGAAAATGTTCTCATTACCACCCCCAATCCCGCGGCGGCACCTCCGACACCTCAACGCTGCGCGCGAAGAAAAAAAAAAAAAAAAGAAAGAAAAGGCTGCCGTGGATAGTTTGCTCTCTCTCAAATGCCGAACTGCAACGCGCCTGCACCACGCTTCTTCCGTTTCTGTCCCTGCCGCGTAGAGACAACGTTATTAGTAACGTTGATATAGAGACCCTTTTTCTTTCAACTCGGCGCGCGGAGGGAGAAGAAAAAAAAAATTGGCCTCGTATCTGCATGTTACACTGAAAATGTCGTCGAAAGACGATAGTCTTGCATCTGGAGAGAGTGAACGAAACGTTCATTTGATGTTCTGCTCTAGAAAATCGTGAATGGTATATTTTGGAGGCGCTGCGTTAAGAGTGCCTCGAGCGTGCAGCAAAGGCGAACGAGCGCATCCAGTCTTGTCACACGTTAGACATGAGCTCTATCTGGCAGTTATCCTAGAAAACGGAGCGGCGGCATGCGCGCCCTTCTCTGAGGTGATAAGGTGTAGAACGCAAGGCGACAGCTAGGTGCCACCACCGTGTTGTCCTAGCAAAGCGTCGGAAACACTTGCCTTTTTGTGCAAGCGTTGCATGGTAAGTGCAGCGTTATAAACGCTACAGCACTTAGAATTACTTATGTATGCCTTTTCTATTAAAAGATACACATACATAATATTGACGTGTTGTTATGATGCTTCAGATATGTGCAATAATTGCTTTTTAATTGACAATTGCACCAGTATGAAGGCTGAACCTTGAGCAATATTGGTGGGTGCTGCGGATGGCGTCGGCCGTTTGGAGTATCGTTTGGTCACTTTGATGCCATTTAGGGTATCGTTAAGGGCAGACAAACAGACAAATGTACAGACAGACCAAAATTTTTGCCTCGAAGGTGCCCAAGAAAGACTATGTGGTCTTTAGACTATTGTCTTTAAAAAAGTGGTCGCGGAGTGTTGGCTCTCTCTCACGCGCCGGCGCCACACTTACCCCTTTCCCGTACCTGCCACGCAGACCATTCAACGACGCTCGAAAAGAGAGCAAAAAAAAAAAAAAAAAAAAAAAAAAAGCTGACATGAAGTGTTGGTCATCTTTCAAATGTCGATATGCCCGTCTCCGCGGGGAGACACTCTTTCTTTCTCGTCGCGGGCTGGCAATGCCACAGCTACGGCGCAGTGGGTAGTATCGGAGACGCAGTCGTTGTTGTCGTCTTTAGAGAGTGTCGGTGTTGGACATTGCCGCGCCCAACTTTTCTTGCCAGGAGAATACTGAAGCCAAAGTAGAAATGCTTTGCAAGCTGCATGCAAAACTGATTGACTCGCTGCACCGATTACTTCAATTAATGCCGGATGTCCTAGGATTTGTGAATAAACGTAAATCTTCTGAAACTTCCTCTTCGTGTGTTAGCTCAATGCCCATGCGCCACTGCATGGTGAGCCCTCTGTTTATTTAGCTTTCATTAATTTGAACTTCTTCTAATTCGAACAAATTTACGGGCCCCTTCGAGTTTGAATTATCAAGATTTGACTGTACTAGAAAAAGAGTTTTTATCTCAGCCTCTCTTTAAAGACCTCAATGAACACATTTAGTTCTAAGGAGGTTCGACTGATGCAAATTGACAGCGTAAATTTTCATGTTGATTTCTCTGGGGACATGTATTTTTACGCAAAGCAAGTCACTTTCGTAGCAACATACTGGCACCAGCGTTTCATGCTGCATTGTTTCCTAAACTTTAGGTGTAGGTTAAACTTTCAGTCAAGTTTGAATAACAAAATACACGATAAAAGTCGTACCGGAGTCCGAGCCTTCGCAGATCATCTCTCGTCATCAAGAGCAGCACATCCTCTTTCGTGAACTGTTCTCTGGCAAACTGCGACAAGGAAAAAGCCACATTTATGATGTTAAGTTGGAATGGTCTGAAGGAGCATTGTGATATTACAATACAATCTCAACATAACAAGCATGCTAAAATGAGGTGAACAGAAGTGTGGATGAATAGTCTTTAGTGCAATGAGTACCGTATTTACTCGATTCTACCGCGCCCTCGATTGTAACGCGCACCCGATTTCCACCACGAAAAAAAAAAAAAAAAAAACGTAAGACATCAATTGCAACGCGCACTCATTTCTCTCACTGGCCCGCACGATCAGGCCACTCGAAAAAACGACTCCTTTCGGGAGCGTCTTCCATTTAAATATGAGGTACGGGAGAAGCTTGTGCCCATCTGACGTGTAACAGAGCATTGCCGTCACTGTAGTTTTACCGTGGACCGATGTCAGCATGCGAACTTGCTTCGCCCCCTTCTTCTCGACGGTTGTGGTGCCAGGCATGTCGAAGTAAAGAGGCGTCTGATCGGCATGCCCGATTTGCCCAAGCAGGTAGCCGTTGTTGCGCCGCAAGTTTAGGACGAACCTCTGAAAACTGTGAAACTTTTCATCGTACTCCTCCGCAAAACTTTTCGCATATGCATGTTCCCCTTCGGAGGAAAAAGCCTTTCCTCTTCATAAAGTTAGTTAGCCAGCACCTGCTCGCTTTAAACTAACTCCGCATTAGACCTTTTTCTAAGACTAATTGCATAGCCCGCACTTGGAGCAGTTCTGTCGTCACGGGCCGCTGTGCGGCTCGCTGCTCAAGCACATACTCGCCGAGCAGCTCTTTAATTTGCGGAAACCGACCCTGCTGTGGTCCACAGAAGCCTTTGCGTGAAGTTTTGCTATCGACAATTTTCTGCTTTTGTTTCCACCGGTCCCGCACGCACGTTTCGGGAACTCCGAACGACCGCGATGCGGCCCGATTTCCGTCCGTTTCTGCACACGCGATGAGTTTTCTTTTAAAAGGGGCATCGTGGTGCACTCGAGTTTTGGGAGTCGGCCCTTCCACGCCGTCGATTCTAATGCACTACTAGATGACGAACTCCTCAGCACACGTACGAAGTGCCGCACATGGGAAATACATAGGCAGAAATGGCCGACGCGCCATGCCGACGCACGTAGGGGGTGGCCATTTTGGATTTGCCGATGGCAATAGATTGACCGTAATTTTTTTGTTCGTACTCGATTCTAACACGCATGCGATTTATGAACTCGCTTAACGGGAAAAAAGGTGCGCGTTAGATTCGAGTAATTACGGTAATTAATCTCAACATAACAAGCATGCTTAAATAAAGCGAATAGAAGTGTAGTTCGATTGTCTTCAGTGCATGGCCATTGTGAAACTGAGAATGCAAGACATGAGACAATAGTGGTTACTAGGCTTGTGCAAATATTCGAATTCGCTTCGATTTAAATTCAAGTTACTGAAAATTTGGAAGTATTCTTAATGAACGAATAGGTGTACATTAGTATGCATGTCACCACCTGTAGGGGTGGTTTTACTGCAGTGCAGGGTGCTAAGCCGTGAGAGCACAGATACAAAGGAACTTCGCTCTGCCGCAAAGCTCCACTTCAAATATAAAGGCGTACTGATGGAAAATTTGGCGAACGAGATAACCTGCGGGGTCAATTACTGTGAACATGTGTATATAATACGTAAAATATCTACAGCAAATTAGCTTCGAAGGCAATTTAAATTAAGTTTGAAGTATACGTGAGGGATCGAATCTATCGCGCTATGGACACCCTCAAAGAATACCCTTGGTGAATTCCTACTTCCCTAACATGACCACGCCGCCACAAGTTACGACGACTTCAAACCCACTATTTTTCTTTGGTGACGTTTGCTCCAGCAGACTATTACTCAGCAGCTGCACAGGAGTCCGTGGCTGCGGCGCACGAGTTGAAAGTTTCGTGTTTGATTGCTGTCCCGTTTCCTGTTCGAAAAAATTGCTTGATGCCAACTGCACGGAAGTGCGTGATAGTTCTGTGTGCTGACATGGTCAAGCCTTGAATCCACTAGGTGGTGATAGTAGTCGCACCCGGTGGCTTTTGAAACAGAAACTGACACTGGTCCGCGATAATGAGCCTGTAATTAATTATCTGTCACGGGCTGCAGTAAACAATGCATCGTGTTATGATCAAGAAGCCCTCAGGAACACTTTGCAGCTAAAAAACTCGAGGCGAAATGTTTGGTGTCAGTGCTCCTTTAAAGGGGACTTGCAACACCTCTTGAGCATGGTTAGAAAACACTGTTGATCGGTGGTTGAGGCTACCGAGAACACACGAGCCAAATATCATGCAGCACATGGCCTGCAATCCACAATAAATTCTCAGTCAGCTAAAAATTGCTCTCTTCTGGGGGAAAATAATGCCACAAGCTCAAAAATCATTCGTCACACCCATTATATCAGCCCCTGATTTATTTGAGCATGAAGTGCTCAGTAGTTACTGGGGCCACGGCAAGAAGCTGCCACTTTTCCATGCGTACGTGTGCGATCTCACTGAAACGCTACATATTCGAAGAAAGAAAAAAGAGAAAAAGTTCTCAAGGGTCACGCCTGCATGACGTATTTTCTTTTCCCATGCCATCCATCGCTCCATGCTTAGATTTTAGTATTTTCGTCGGGACGACAACAAAGACTGAAATTGTAGTGCGACTAATATTGGCAACTCCGGTCGTACTAGATGGATTGTAAAAGTTTTTACGGTGGTGAATTCGCGAGGCAATAAGCTTCGTTAGCAAATCTATTCCAAGCCTACTTGAAAAAGTGTTGCAAATAGTGTTTAAATGAATGTATTACCCTCCAATCGATTCATCATTATTTAAGCTTAAAAGTTTGTTATGCCGGCTTATATGCTACAAGTACAATAAATTTTAAAATGTTTTGTATTTTACAGGTTATCACTGGCAAAAGGTCAATCTTTTTATTATTCAAAGTTGTTTCACCTTGCTTTGAGCGAAAAAAAAAAAAGGAATTCGCAAAGAGACTTTGTTTCGATTAAAAAAAAATATTGTGGAGGGTAGTTAGGTAATAATAAATATGCCCATTTCTTTTATATGTCATATATGTTGTTTAAATTCAATTCGAAATTATTTGACCAAAATCACTATACGCTTCGAACCTAAAATTCATTATTCACACAACCCTAGTGGTTACAGTGAACCAAATGATGCACCTTCACATATCTCAAGATACATACAGTAAACCCTTGTTAAAATGAAGTTAGCGGGATGGCGAAAAATGCAATATAAGCAGTAATTTGACTGCCTGATATAAGCTCAGCAAGTACAGCTAAATTAGCCATGAATATTTCGCAGAAGTGGTATTCAGTGAAAGAAACCTTTATTCATGCACAAAAAAGTGAGTCGGCTGGTTTCGTCGGGTACTTTGGCTGGGCGCGAGAAGTGTTTGCTCCAGTTTGTTCAGGCAAATTATAAGGTCGTGGTCGCCGCTCGCGCAATCTCCTCTATTTCGCAAAAGACGGAGGCTTTCCTGCGTTTGTCCCACTGTTGGTATTTCGCGAGGCTGTTTGTCTAGCGGCTCATCTTTCTTGTCGAGGCCTCCAAGCAAGTCAGCTATTTCGGCAAGCTGGTCTACCGGTGCTTTGCAGGCTTTACCAGTATCAGCAAAGGAAGGTTGTCCTTCCCTGTTGCCCCAGCATAGAACAGCAATGTAATGCGTTTCTTGCTTTGTTTACATAGTGATGAGGTTCCGCTCGGTGTAATGTACGTGCGCTTCGGCAACAGTTTGCAGAAGCATGTCGCCTCGCACAAGTTGTAAATTTCTCTATCTTCATACTGCTGAAGTAGGGCGCTCAGTTGATGCTTACGCCATCTGTCCACAACGTTCAAGCTAGCCGTTTTTGCAGTCAATGCAGACCCATTTACAGGAATGTCTGCACTTATAACATTGTTCAGCCATTCGAAAAGCATTCTTTCCACTTGAGGATATTTAGAAATTCGGTTGCACTTTTGTTCGGGTGATAAACTTTTCTTGAAGCAGCCCAGTACAGCATCCTTATTCTTCAGAACAGTTGATAATGTTGATGGCAGTATTTCGAATTGTCTTGCGATTTCTAACTTCTGCCGGCCTTTTTTTCACCTCACGTATAAGTTGAACATTCTGCTCTAATTTCAGACACTTCCGTGCGGGCACCGGCGGTGCCATGTTCACTAAAGGCACTCACGATGCGCACACAATGTCACGGACTCACACAGACCTCGCACAACCCATGCACACGTGTGTCTTCCAACCACGGATGGAAAAAACACAGGGAGCATGCCGAGGCTTCGTCCTGGTCATGCGACACCACTGGCGTAGCGGTGGGGAGCAGCCAGTACGTTTCGAGCGGCTTCATACCGGATACTACCAGAGTAGGGCACGAAGAAGGAGGGTGAAATTCGCGCCGCGGAAACAGTCCGCACTGGTGCGCTTGAACCTGGCGATGCTAGTGCGAACACTGCTTGCTCAGCGCAAAAAAAGCCGATCCGTGCACGGCGTGGATGAAAAAAGTGTGCAAGCACTTTGGCGGCGTTGGCGGTCGCTCGCCCGTGCCGCCGTGAATACGGATTTGCGACTTTTTACTTCGCTCTAAGCAGAGTAAGCTATCGACATGCTTCGAGTACTCTGGTCTAAAATACACGTACTGGAGTAGGGACAGTGTGAAACTTAGATAAAAGCGATAATTCAAATGAAGCGACTACGTTGTAACGAGGGTTTATGGTATTGTGGTACTAGTCAAAATGCCAAATATGAGCCAGAGGAACTTGAAATCAAAGATTTGGCACACATAACCTTAGCTAACATCTCCTTGAAAATTCTACGCATAAGAGGAGTGCCACACTATGCATACATTTATCAAATGCTCAAAGCAAGTTTCGATGCATTAATATGCTGCAAAACTCTGTGTTGCACGTACAATTCTCTTTATAGTACCAGATCTCCTGTTGATTATTTTAGAAATATTAGCCCTAAGAAACAGAACTCTTTGGCACATGCTGTAAATCGAGCCATTGAAAGTGATGGAAATTACAAGCCACGAAAGAGAAAATGAGCAACCTGAGCAGAGCACGAGCAAAATGGGCGAAGTGCACAACTCTTGGTGTAAGTGTGCGATTTTTATGTGAATTTTTATGTAATTGAGAATTCGCACAGATGTTCAATGAGCGTTTATTTGTTTTTGAAACTTCAGAGCCATATTTTAAAACACGCTACTTTTTTTTTTTGTAAGAACATTTAGAATATAGCAAGTCACAAAATGTCAACACAAGAAATGTAACAATTGAAAAAAAAAAATGTTAAACAAGAACTTGGTCTACCTACCGATAAATTTCATTTCGTACTGCACATGTCGCAGCTGAAAGAGAGACATTTCCAATGCCCTACTGCAGGGTTCTCAAACACGCAGCTCGCAGTCCGCCAACCTTTCGCTAGCGACCCGCAAAATCACAAAGAATAAACTTTCAAGACTTTGCTAAAAGGTATTCACACTGTTTTCTCACTTATTGAGATTAATAATGCTATGTTTGGGGAGCTACCGAAACATGAATGGTCTCAAGAATATTTTTCGTGAGGCACCGCATGCAGTCATGTTTCGAAACATCATCGCAGAGTTAAAAATTCTATTTGAGAATTTTAACCATACTGAAAAACATGTTGATCTGATATAGCATTCTTAAAGCCTCCACCAAATCCAGGGCAGATTTGACCAATATGTTAACACGGCACAGACATTCTTTCAAATGTCATTGCTGGGTGATATTTTCTTCAAATACCACCTCTTCGAATTCTTTCACAGTCCCAGCCCTTGCAAGACGAAATTTCAGAAATGCGGCCCGCTAGCTGATACAAGTTTGAGAACCTTGCTCTACCGGTACGTGCACTAAATATGACAACACCACGAGAGCCGATTGCCAAATTTGGCTACTGCTCACCCTTTCTATGCACTCTGTATCCATGCCAAGGTCTTGTAGCCAGCGAATCAGATCTTCATCGCAGTGAGTTTCAGGCCTATGGACGCCAGCTGAGGCTATGGTTGTGGTGGAACAACAATTGAAACTGTGAGCATTGAGCAGCATAAAGTGATTGTAATATTCACTTATAAAGAACACATGCAAAGTGCATCAAGACCATTGTTGCACAAAAGCAGTGATAATACAATGCAGGGTGTCCCAGCAAACACAGACCAAAAATAAAAATAGGCTGGGGGGGGGGGGGGGGGCTATGAGATCTAGGCATGATACCACCCATGTTTTCTTACCAGTTACAGAGCATAAAGTGGATAATTTTGTTTTGCTGTTCAATTACGCCATAGTGCTTAAAAGACAGGGACCAAAGAAGAGGACGGGAGGTGTGATACTCGCAACTGAATTTTTATTTCGGCGATGTGTTGCACTTATACTCCAGATGAAAACAGCAAAAACAGTATAGCAAGTGCAAGCCTGCATATCGTTCAGATACGCGATTTCCTTTGTGTTCAGAGCAATAGAGGAGGAGCTAGTAAAGTTGGCATCTTCTCTAGCAATCAAACAGGCCCCGAAAATCGCTCGCATATCCTTGTTACAGAGTTATTACACAGATGTACCCACTCAGTAAACAGAGGCTGGCAGCCACAGATTGTTACTGCCACTTGCCCGTTGTGGTCTACTTAGACGCGGGTGCCCTAGGATGATGTCACGTGCACTAGCCACCCAGGAACGCGGCTTCGCTCAAGTCATCCCGTGATGTATTGAAAGGGGCAGTCATTAGCTTGAGATCTGTCTTATTCGAACAGATTCGCAGTTCTCACAGGATTCAACTGAATCTCATTCCACAGTAGGACCTGTAAGAATACTGTTAGACGCCACGCAGGGGTGAGGCAACCGTTTAATGGACCTAACAGCAGCGAGACAGCAGCCAGCGGTTTCAGCAGCAGTTGCAGATGCACGAGCCTTCAGCACACCAGCCTTCTTCGTTGTTTCTATAGCAGAGCCCATATTTGTCACTACATTGACTCCCCAGAGCAAAAGGAGCCATCCTGGCGACCTATGGTACAGACAGGTCTGGTGGGTCGTAGTGAAGTTTTAGATGATCGACGTGCACAGTTTCGTGCCCGTGGCGCCGTTGACCTGTAGGTGGCTGAATAGGTTCAACCATGTAGTTGACTGGTGATGTCTGGCGCAGGTTCCGGTGCGGACTGTCATACTTGGGTATGAACTTTGAGCAAAGGCCTGGGGCAGACGATGGCACGCGGAGCCACACGATTGTTTCAGGCGCGTATGACAAAGGGGATGAGTGTCGGTCATGGGAGTGCTTCTTGCGAGCCTGATCGTGCGTAGTAAGTGAACGTGCGAGCTGCCGACATTCTTTAGCATATGTGGCGGCTTCGGCCAAAGTCATCGATTCTGAAGCGTCTTGGCTGTGCTGAAGAATAGTGTCCAAGAACGATGAAGGTTCCCGACCATAAAGAAGGAAGAATGAGGAGAATCCAGTTGTATATTGAATTGCGCTGTTGTAAGCGTAAGTAACGAATGGCAGTATGCGGCCCCAGTTCGTGTGGTCATCGGAAACATGCATGGAGAGCATGTCACCCAGCATGCGATTAAATCGCTCGTCATCCCGTTGGTTTGGGGGTGATATGCGGTGGTTGTTTGATGCACGATGTTGCATTCGCGTAGGAGGGTTTCTACAGCTTCCGACAAGAAGGAACGCCAACAGTCACTGAGTAGCTCGCGGGGTGCACCATGCCGAAGGACGAGGTTGTGCAGAATGAACAAGCCGACTTCACGTGCAGTCTTTGGGAAGCGCTGAAGTTTCGGCGTAGCGCGTAAGATGGTCCACGGCTACGATGGCCCAGGGGTTTCCATTTGGTGTAAATGGTAGGAGACCGTACAAGTTGATTCCGATGCGGCCGAAAGGCAAAGAAGGACAAGGCAGTGGCTGGAAGGGCCCTGTGGTTGTGCGAGGGGAGCTCTTCCGGTGTTGGCACAAGGAACATGAAAGAACTTTATTGTGGCAACACCAAACGCAGTACAGCCCGTTGCAAAAAGGCGCGACGGGAAAGCAAATAGGCTTGTCCACGCCACGGGCACACAGGGTGCCACGAGCACGTCTCCGCGGTAAAGGTGATCCACGGAGACACCGGGACCAAGGCCCGATTGCTCGAGCGAGGGCAAAGGCGCTCGCGTTGGCTTCGAAGGGAGACGGGTCGGCATAGCCAGGCCACGCACTAGGACACCGTACTGCCCTTCGGCCGTGAGTACGCAGCGGGGCAACAAAATGTGAGCGTTCACCTCGGGCGCGAGGCGCCGTCGGCGAAGTCCGACGAGCCCCGAGCGACCGGACTCAACGGATGGAAAAGAATGCCTGGCTCACCGTTTGAAGTCCCGGAGAGTACTCACCGCTCCCGACGCAGCGCGCGAAAACCTCTCGGGAGTCCCCGCGCGCGGCGCCACAGTAAACATCCGCTTCCGGGTGAGGGAGTTAAACGTCACTCCGCTCTCCCACCACGGCAGACAGCAAAGGAGGGCAGACATGTCGGGACATGAGAACGGCAGAAAAGGCGGCAAAGCCCGCACAAAGGCAGCGGGCCAGCCTCAATTCCCACAACGTCTTCACTACACCTGCGTTGACGCATCGCGGACCCGCGTGGAAGGAGCCATAGACGTCAGAACATAGGTGGCGAGGGATTACCAGCAACTATATGCGGCCATCAGATAGGTAGTTTCGCCGGTACAGATGACTGTCGTGGATGGTAAAATGGCGAGCAGTTCGTCGAAGTAAACGTTTGTCGGTACGTGAAGACGTCTCAGACAGGTACTCTAGGAGAGACGCTATCCATGGATCTTGGCGTTGCTCAGCGGACATGTCGGCATGTTCAAGTGAACATTTGCAGCTGCAAACAGACGCTGTAACATAATTGTGGGGAAGTGGCGAGCGAGAAAGAGCGTCGGCGTCCGAATGCTTGCGGCCTGCCCGATAAATTACACGAATGTCGTAATCTTGGAGACGTAGTGCCCAGCGAGCTAGGCGACCAGATGGGTCTTTTAATGACGACAACCAACACAATGAATGTGATCAGTCACGACGTCAAACGGGTGGCCATGTAGATAAGGTCGGAAATTCGCGATAGCCCAAACAATGGCAAGGCATTATTTCTTGGTGACTGAATAGTCCTTCTCCGCTTTAGTGAGGGTGCGACTAGCATAGGATACAACATACTTATCGAAGCCAGATTTACGCTGAGCAAGAATAGCGCCGAGGCCTACTCCACTAGCGTCCATATGGATTTCAGTTGGAGCACCTGGATCAATGTGGCGTAGCATAGGTGGTGATGTCAGAAGATGGCATAAAGAGGCGAATGCTTCGTCGCATGCTGGGGACCACGCCGAGATGTCTTGGTTGTCGGCAAGTAGCTGCGTCAAGGGTTCAATTATGGTGGCGAAATTGCGCACAAAACGGCGAAAATATGAGCAGAGGTCGATGAAGCTGCAGAACTTATTTAGTGTAGCTGGCCTGGGAAAGTTGGCGGCAACACGAAGCTTGGCTAGATCAGGGCAGACACCATGCTCGCTAACAGCATGCCCTCAGATGGTAAGCTGGCGGGCAGCGAAGAGGCATTTCTTCAAATTCAGCTGCAGTCCAGCGTCCGAAAGACAAGTCGAGACGCTTGTGAGGCGGCTGAGGTGGGAGTCGAAGTCCTTCGCGAAAATGACGATAACATCCAAATAGCACATACATGTGTTCCATTTAAAGCCTCTAAGGATCTTGTCCATGAGACGTTCGAAGACGGCAGGCGCATTACAGCGGCCGAATGACATGACGTAAAACTCGTACAATCCGTCAGGCGTTACAAATGCAGTCTTGGAGCAGTCGGCTTCATTCATAGGGACCTTCCAGTAGCCAGATCAAAGGTTTAAAAAAGAAAAGAACTCTGCTCCTTGCAGGCAATCGAGGGTGTCATCGATTCTAGGCAGCGGATAAACATCTTTTCTTGTGGTCTTATTAAGACGCCTGTAATCAACGCAAAATCTGATGCTGTCATCCTTTTTTTTTTTTTCACCAGTACAACCGGAGAGGCCCTAGGGCTGTTTGAAGGTTGTATTACGCTACGTTGAAGCATATCGTTCACCTGATAATCAATGGCACGGCGTTCAGCGTGAGAAACTCGATATGGGCGCTGACCCAAGGGTGCATGGCTATCGGTGTCGATTTAGTGAATGATGGCAGATGTGCGACCTAAAAAAGGTTTGCTATGGTCAAATGACATCTTGAAGCAATCGATTAGAGCCAGGAGTTGGGCACGCTGAGCAGCGGGAAGTTTAGGGTCAATCGATGAGATAAAAGCCTCCGGAGATGAAGCGGGAGTGGCATCAGAAGGAATGGTGTTTAAGTGAGATGATGGCAACTCATAAGCTAGGTGACTGGATGAAACAGAATCAATTTCCTCAAGGTGACAGAGGACTTCGTCACGGAATAGTACGGCTGGGGAAGGAAGGGAGTTCGTTATATAAATGGAGCCACGTGAGTTTTCTACGGTGACAACTGCGAACGAGAGAAGGAAGCTCTTGCGAGAGCCGAAAGCGTCAGAGGGGCTAAAGAGGGCGGTGACAGAGGGCAAGTCGTCATAGAAGAGTGGCAAAAGAACACAGGATAGAGGAGGGATGCGAGTGTCCGCGGCCACGGTTACTCGGGAAGGTAGCGGCTTGAAAGAAGGTCTTTCACACGTCGGCGCTTCACACAGGGGCAGTTCACACATCGTTGACAACTCTAGTTCGGCGTGCGCACTGTGAACGACGGCATGATGAGCGCAGAGGAAGTCCCAGCCTAAGATAATATCGTGTGAACATGGGGAAAGCACAACGAATTCGACTACATACAAAATATTTTGGATGACCAGTCGAGCTGCGCACACCCCATAAGGTTAGATGTGATGTGTAGTGGCCGTGCAGAGAGAGACATCGGAAAGCGGCAGCGTAAGCTTTTTCAACTTGCGGCACAGCTCACCACTTAGCACAGACACAGCAGCACCAGTATCAACAAGCGCTTTCGCAGGTACACAATCTATATGCACAGTTATTTCATTAGCAGGTAAAAACGAAGGCTTTGAAAGTTTCGATATGTGCGCAGCTCTTGCAAGCATCGGAAATCGCGGTGGTCAGTTTTGTGTTTGGGCAGGTGGTGATCGAGGAAGCATGGAGAAATAGAACGGCGCCGTGGTGAGGGCGACCGATCTCTGTCGAAGCCGAGGGAACGAAGAGGACTGTGGCGGCTCTGGACGATATGAGTTGCAAGTCGCCTCACCAGCAGTTGGATTGTAATCCCGACGACGGCAGTAGCGTGCTACATGACCGGGAAGATGGCAGAAATAGCAAATTGGCCTGTTGTCCGGAGTGTGCCAAGGGTTAGTTGAAGGTGATGTGGGGTGGCGAACAGGAGGTTAGTGGGGACGGATAGGTGGACTTACTGCGTAGAGAGGACGGGGCTGTCGAGCAAGATCCGTGGCGTTTGGTAGCGACGGCGGCGATCGTCTGGCGGCCTCAGCGTGAGAGAGGCGGAGATGGGCGAAGGATGGTACGTGGGAGACAGGGCGTCAGAAACTTGCTCTTCGATTGCCTTGCAGAGCGTTGGGGTGAGTGTGTGCGCACTGGTCGGAACGTACGGCACAAGAGACAATTGGTGCACCACCTCTTCATGGACGAATTGCTGAATTTGCTGCATTATCGTGCTTTGTTTGGAGGAAACAGCGCCAATGGTTAACGCAGATGTAGAGGTCGTGTCGAGGTTTGGACGTAAAGTAGAAATGCGCTCTCTCCGCAGTTCGTTGAAACTTTGACAGTGCTGAATAAGCTGGGCGACGGTTTGCGGTTTTTTTGCAATGAGCATGTGAAAGGCGTAGTTCTCGATACCTTTCATGATGTGCCGTATTTTGTCAGTGTCAGACATGTTGGGATCGATATGACGGCAGAGGTCCAGAACATCCTCAACATACAAGGTAAAAGTCTCGCCAGAGCGCTCTGTGCGGCAGCGCAAGCGCTGTTCAGCGCGGAGCTTGCGAAAAGTGGGTCGGCCAAAGACTTCTGTAAAGCGCGTCTTGAAGGTTGACCAAGAAGGTATTTTCGCTTTGTGGTTGTTAAACCACAGTTCTGCCACATTCGTGAGATAGAAATTGAGGTAAGCGAGCGTGTCTGTAAGCGCCCACTTACAGTGGGAGCTTACAACTTCATACTGTGACAGCCAGTCTTTGGCGTCTTGGTCGTCGGTCGCGTCGAAAATACCTGGATCTCGCTGTCGTGGCATTCAAGAATAGGTGACAGATGAGATTATGACTGCAGGTGACAGGGCCATGTCGTCAGGCATTGGCGAGGTAGGGGGTTGAGCTAGAGTCCGGGAACAAAGTTCCAGTTTGAGACAACCAGCTATCTCCACCAAATGTAAAAATACTGTTAGACACTACTCCGGGGTGAAGCAACTGTTTAATGGGCCTAACAGCAGCGAGACAGCAGCCAGCAGTTTCAGCAGCAGCTGCAGCAGCACGAGCCTCCGCCACAACAAAAGTCTTCTTCGTCGTTTCTATAGCAGAGCCCGTATTTGTCACTACAGACCATGTTTTCATCTCACTAATGCTTTGGGATTGCACACAGCTCCCTGTGGGTAATATTTTGCCATTTTTTTTATAAAGACATAATAACAAAATTTTAAATTGGTAGGTACTGGTACGAGGTCATTAAAGCAGATATGATAAGAAACAAAAACATTTGAACTTACATGCTGCTTTGTAATAATTAACGACTTTTGATTATGTAGATATAGCTGAAACCATAACCAACGTTTCCAGCACCTCTTTAAAGGAACACTAGAGTCAAATAACAATTTACGTCAGAGTAAAAGTCGAATGTATGACAACATCTAAAATGACAATATTATCAACAAAGGTGCCCTACTTACCGAGAAATTAAGGTAAATGCACAAGAACAGAAGCACAGCAGTAGGACATTTTCAAAATGATACTGATAAGATTAGATGGACCGCCTAGAATTAATCACTAGTAATTGATCTAACTGCACTAAATAAAGAACCTTTCGTGCATCAAGAGACGCAATAAAAATACTGCTTGATCGTTTCCGTTTGATTCATGAAAAAAGAACCGCCGGGCATTACTATGGAGAATGGCACGAGTGTTTTGAGAATTTATTTTTCGCGTGGTTACAAGGAACGACAGGTGGTGCCATCTAGAGGGGCGCAGTTGAAACAAAAGCGTCTGCAATATCGAAGCTAATGGCGGGAAAATGATCAATAGCCGTTGTTGCTGCTGTGGCTTCCACTGCTTTTGGTCTGCTGCTACTAGCGCAGTAAAGCCGGGCAACGTTGTTCACGGCAACAGTGACCCGAGACGGTCCGGTCCGTCCGCTTCTTAAGGCGGGTAATTTGAAGTGTGCTAACCCGGTGCGGAGCACTAAAAAGTGATTTCGTTTCAAAATAGGCCTTTCTTTGGCACGAAAGTAACACTATGAGGTTTCTGGACCACCATTTCAACAATAAACCTCGACATAATAGTTGGCTTTAGTGCCCCTTTAACACAGGGCAAAACTTGATTGGTGAAAAAAAAAATTCAGTAACAGCAAGAATAACAACAACCATTAGATTTTTGGTCTCACCAGAAGGAACAGATGATGATGGACCAGATATTGTGACGCTTGATTCTCTGCTCCCCGATGGATGAAGGAACGTGTTCTGGCTTAGGCTGCCAAAACAAAAAGAAGGAGCGAACGGGGGCAGGTGTTAGGACTTATGATAGCACACAAGTGAACACTTCAGGAAAGAAGCAAACTCCAAGCACGATTTATTTTAAAATACCCAACCCAACCAGGCAGATATGTGCCGAATATTTTGATTTGATTCAAAGTGAACACTTCAGTTACAACAAACAGGACAATAGCGAGAGAAAAAAAAATGGAAACAAAATGCTCTGTACAAGAGCCAGACCAAAAGCAGGCAGTGCATGAGAGATCTTGTGAAGGCACCTTAGAGACGCATAGACAAACAAGTGTAGGTTTTGACAGCACATACCAGCCCTCCACAAAGCTTCGCTGCTGTGACCGACTGTCAAGAAGCTTCCTTAGCAAGTCCTGGTACAGCTGCTCACTCATCTGGATGGCATCTATGACCCTGCAAAGAGTAGTTGAAATATGCAGCCGAATGCACTTATAAGTACCATTTATAACAATATATCTAATATAATGATAAACAACGATTGTACCATCCACTTTTGTATGCTTTCTATGGTAAAATAAACCGCTTATTACGATGCTTCAGTCCCCGATGTCAGATGTAGCGATTGAATATGGCTTACAGCGTGTGCCAGAAATGACTCTCTATGGCAACGACATGCGCCGCCATTTGTTTTGCAGCCTGTCTACACCCTTAAAAAAGAGTCGACTGCGCCTCTTACAAAGAAGAGCTTTCTTTCCAAACTTCCAAAGCGATGCTAGGAGAGCTCGCCGAAGCACCCATCGAAGAAGAGCTGCCAAAGTTGTAATCGGTGCTCAACGAAGATGCGTTGTGTCTGGACCCTTTACTTCATGCAGGCGTTGCAGAAACGTCGGAGGGCCTCAGTGATGAGGCGATTGTTGCCCGTATACATGTTGCCATAGTGCTACATATTGCCATTGCATGAAACAAAGGATGTTCAGTTCGTTTATAACACGGTTTCACTAGACCAGAAGTTGTGAGCCCAGGGTCTTTTTTCTGTTTGTGTCTTAGTGCTATCAAGCTCATTAGTCCTAACCGTTCTTTTGCAGGCTGTTGGACTGTGCTAGGCTAGTGGCTGAGGCTAGTGAGTGTTGAATAATTGATATGTGGGGTTTAATGTCCTGAAGTCGCCATATGATTATGAAAGACGCCGTGGTGGAGGGCTTCGGAAATTTCGGCCACCTGGGGTTTTTTATGGTGCACCCAAATCTGAGGACATAAACCTACAGAATTTTCGCCTCCATCAAAAATGCAGCCACCGCAGCTGGGATTCGATCCCGCGACTTGCGGGTCAGCAGCCGAGTACCTTAGCGCGGGATATGGCGTTTTTCTTTGGCAGTTTGCTGAGGAATATTTATACATATTCCTGTACATTTCGCGTGTATACTTCCTGTATATTTGTCAGTATATTTTATATTTTGTATTTACCCTTTTTGTCTAATAAACTCATTTGATTGACTGATTGATTGAAAAGTAAAGCCAAGAGAAGATATTGCAAACACTAATAGTGGTCTACTGCAATAAGCGCATTCGCACAACTTTTCTTTTTTCCGGAGATCTCCAGGTGTGTAGCCTCACTGTGGCAATCAGCTTATTGCTTATGACCAACCAAAGCCGAACCAAGCACGCATACCTCGATCTCATTAGTCTAATACAGGCTGTTTGACTGTGCCCGATTTAAAAATCGCATTGCCACGAAACACGCAAGCAATAAAGTTTGCCCAGTACCACGCTCAACTGCCGTGAATTGTGGGTTGCACAATCGGACCCTGTGAAAACTCCCAATATTCAAGGGTTTTCAAAGACTGAAATGAAATTCCAGGACTTTTAAGGCCTTGTAAATGAAGTTTTCTATTTCAAGGGTTTTCAAGGATTTCAAGGGCATGTGCACGCATTGATGTTAGAAAACTATGCTCGCAAGCACAATTTTTTTTTTGAAAACCTCATCGCAACCACTCCATGCCCACAAGTTGCACACCACTGCTGAATGGGTCTCTCAGCGATTGCAGCCTACGAATAATATGTGGGCACGGCATGTGAGCACAAAGACAGATTTGTTAAATCCAGAGTTCAAAGCATCATATTTTCTCTATAATTGACAAATCGAGAAAGTGAATGTGGAAAGTAGGGTGAGGTTGGTTTCCGTCAGAACCCTCGCAGAACCTTGAGGTGTAAATTAGGCGGCTCCATTTGGCAAAGCTTAAACCAGAGTTCGCACGCATGCGTCACTTATTCCTGAGCTCACATGCAATGCCACAAGAAGGCAGGCATAACTGACCGTTGGGTCTCTTCTGAAGGGATGGCTAGGGCCAGCTGCTTTTGCAAAGCCGCACTGCGGGACTTGCTGGAGTTGATGGTCGACACGCCAGAAGTGGACTCCGCGTCCTCAATGTCGTTATCTTCTTGGTCTTCCTGACCTGTAAGTACATGAGGTGTCTTTCAATTCATATGAAACTTGTATCGGACCTTCGGCCCAGTCAGGCTGTTCTTGCAACAGCTTTTAGTCTATGGTATACCCCAGAGCCTTTCTAGTTCTGGAAATAAATCTCTATTCTATTGTATTGTATTTTAAACTAGGATTCTGACTGATTTCACATTCCGATCAACTGAAGTAAAGCTTAACTTTTTGCTTCAGTCGGAGTGTTACCAGTGGCTTGTGACACTGCACTTAATTTCGTGTCCAAGGAAAAAGGGCATGCATTTGACGTTTAAAAAGATGAGACAAAAATTTATAAAGTTGAGAAAACTTCTAGTGAAGCATAAGTGTACATTCATGTGGCAGTACACTAACTGCAACTTTTCACGCTTCTAACCAGCAATCAGTCAAGATCATTCAGGAAACGGCATTCGCTGATAGTGTCGGCATATCTTCAGTGATTGATATTCAAGCGATCTAAGCAAGGTATACTTAATAGGCTTGTGCGATATTCGAATGCTTCGAATATTTGAACGAATAGTTGAGTATTCAAATGACACTACAAGCTCAAGATCACTTGTCACAGCCAAGAAGGAATACACGGCTCTGGTCATAGCCATTGGCTGATTAGAGCATGGCACGCTTGTCGGTACCAGGGCTGCCACGGGAGGCCGCCACTTGTCCACGAGTACATGCGTGATCGCACTGAAAAACTGCGTATCCGAAAAAAAAAAAAAAAAAGGCACTCAAAGTCACGAGGTGCGTGCGACGCAATTTCTTTCACCGTGCCACTTCTCCCTGCTTAGCTTCTACCTATTTCGTCGAGACGAGAAGAGAGAATGCAATTGCTGCATGCGACAAATATTTGGAACTCTACTCATACTGGACTGATTCTGGAAACTTTGCGGCGGTACATTCGTGAGGCAACAAGCATGTTTACTGGCTCCATGGCTGCTTGAAAAAGTGTTGCAGGGCCCCTTTAAAGGAACAAGTTACCCTCAAATCAATTCATTTTATTAAGCTTGTTATGACAGCTTATATGCTCCAAGTACAATAAATTTTAAGACGTTAAGTATCTTATAGGTTATCACTCGCGCACTACTGAAACTACTACTCAAGGTTGTTTTGACTTACTTGAAACGAAAAAAAAATAATGGCATTTGCATAGAGCCCCTATTTCAATTCAAAAGAAATATTGTGCAGGTTAGCTAGGTGATGATAAATATTCCCTTTTTATTTATGTGTCATACATACCATTCGAATTCGATTTGAAATGATTCGATCAAAGTCACTATTCGCTTCGAATTCGCTTTTTACCTGACATTCACTATTCGCACAAGCCTAATACTTAAGTAATTAGAAAAAAAAATTGTATGCTGTCACTTGTTACACAGAGCTCTCTCCAGTGATCCCGAAGCTGAAAGAATCCATTCTGAGCTGGCTTGTTGTAGTGACATAAAGTGGCTCATTATAATTAATTGATATGTGGGGTTTAACGTCCCAAAACCACCATATGATTATGAGAGACGCCGTAGTGGAGGGCTCCGGAAATTTTGACCACCTGGGGTTCTTTAACGTGCACCCAAATCTGAGCACACGGGCCTACAACATTTCCGCCTCCATCGGAAATGCAGCCGCCGCAGCCGGGATTTGAACCCGCGACCTGCGGGTCAGCAGCCGAGTACCTTAGCCACTAGACCACCACGGCGGGGCAAGTGGCTCATTATACGCAGCTAATGCTGGTCATAACAAACTATTAATCGCGGCCAGCTGATCCCATTGGTAACGTGGGTAAACAGTTGTTTTGACCAATGACTAGAGTCGATTCAGTAGGCATAACCAATTACACCAAGTTCATAGTGCATTAAAGAAATGTAACTGTAAATACTCAGAGCTAACAACGGTGTTATCAATTTAGTGACAAGTTGGGGAAAAAAAAAGACCCCGCAAATTCAATTCTATGTCGTGGAAAGGAGCTGCCTCTCACCACAAGACAGGATTTCACTGGCCACTTGAGCTGCGTTCATGACGAGAGCATCCAACGCAAACATCCAGTGTGGTTTGATGTTCTGATTCCGAAGCACTTCATTCACCTGCACATCGTTAACGCCCCATAAGGCACAAGGCACAAATTATATGCAAAAGCTCACCTGCTGATATCACGGGTGAGGTGGACAGATTAGTAATCCCAAACCTTGTCCCAACAAAGTTGCATCTTACACAAAAATTAGTTTGTCATATCGGAAAATTCATTATAAAGGTGTATTCTTAACACTGTATCTATTGCAAGACTTGTTTTCATTTACTTCGTTACAACTGATAGTTTGTTATATCTGTGTCTGGTTCATCGAGATTTGAGTGTAGATTGTTCTGAACAAAGAGGTGAACCGGCTCGCAAGCCCCATGAATGAACTATGCACATTTAAATGAAAAACATGAAACAAATGAAAAACATTTTGGTCGGGTAAGTTTGTAAATACATGACCAAACTAGAAGTATCTTTGGCATAGGTGCGAAAGTAATTTTGAATACTGAGGATGCAGAGAGCAAAATGAGCATGCAAGCCAAGAGATAAAAGTAGTACAACTTACGCATGCCCGATCAACTATAGTTTACTCAGATAATTACACTTTTAAAGGCTGAGCAAGAAGGATACTGCTTTCTTTCTGAATGTCTCTTGACTTTTTTTGACTGTGAATTGTACGTCAATGCAAGTGAAGTATTGAAACAACTACATTTCTCACAGAAAATGCAAAAAAAAAAAAAAAACAGTAAATATCCCAACCGACAGTTTACATTTCGTGGAACTGTGCGAAGACTTTAACCTTACCCAACTCGTAACGCAACCAACAAGAATGGGCCCCAATTCATCAAATGTTCTTGATCTGATTCTCACCACTGTACCTGACCTTGTCCATTCTATTTCATATATCCCAGGCATAAGTGACCATTGTTTCGTGCACTTCAATCTAACAGGTTCTTTAAGGCGTCGGTCAAACAATTGCAAAACAATAAGAGACTACTCACGCGGCGATTATGACTCAATCAACAGTGAACTCGAATCGAATTTTGAGAGCTTTGCTGATGGCTTCTTTGATCGCAGCGTTCAACAAAACTGGAACTTGTTCAAAATGAAAGTTGAATCTTTAATCACGCGATACATTCCCACATACGTTATCAAGGGACGCCAACGCCCCCCTTGGTTCTCAACTGACTTAAAAAAATTGCGGAATAAAAAGAAACGGTTGTTCCGTCAGGCAAAGCAGACTAATTCGTTAGCCCGTTGGCACGTGTACAAATCTGTCCTTTCCGAATACAGAGCAGCTATCAAGGAAGCCAAGCGCGTTTTTCTTAATGATACCCTTCCTTCAATTCTTGTAACCAACCCTTCTAAGTTTTGGAAAACTGTTAAACCTAGGGAAAAGATAAACATTTCGCTTACGAACTCAGATGGGCAGCCAGTTCGCTGTGAAGAGTGTTGCATTGCATTAAATGATTTTTTTGTTACTTCTTTTTCAAGTTGTTCTGCTTCTGCGTTGCCGCAAATGCCTAGTCGTGATTTTTTACCCATGTATCCTGTTACCGTTGATGCCGTTGGAGTGCAAAATTTAACTCACAAGCTTAAGTTATCCTCTTCTTGTGGCGTAGATGAAATCAACTCAAAGTTTCTAAAAAACACTGCATTGTATTCATCAATTTACTTGTCCTTAATCTTTTCGCAATCTATTCAGACCTCCACTTTGCCGCTTGACTGGAAGGTGGGGAAGGTGGTCCCTCTGCACAAATCTGGTAACACACAGTCTCCTCTCAATTACAGACCAATTTCCCTAACCAGTGTTCCTTGTAAAATGTTAGAACATATAATTTACTCCAACCTTGTCTCATTCCTAGAATCAAATTCTTTTTTACTCCCTACCAGCACGGATTCCGAAAAAGTTACTCATGTGAAACCCAACTTCTTTATTTTACTAATGACATAGGATCGGCTTTAGATCGCGGCTCACTTGTGCATTGCATTTTTCTTGACTTTCAAAAAGCTTTCGATAAAGTACCTCACCAATTACTCCTCCTAAAAATTAGTGCCTTAAACATTGACCCGAACATTCTTAAATGGATTGAATGCTTTCTGACTAATCGCACTCAGTTTGTAACAACTAATGGCTATAACTCACCTCTTTCTAAAGTAACATCCGGCGTACCCCAAGGTTCCGTATTAGGCCCTTTACTATTTCTTATATATATTGATGATCTCCTAGACAGTATTAACTCCGCTTAAAGGTTATTTGCAGATGATTGTGTAATTTACCGCAAACTAAACAATGAATATGATAACCAATTTCTACAGTCAGACCTTGACACTGTCTCAACCTGGTGCAATAAATGGCTTATGACTCTCAACTCTAACAAATCTAAATGCATGTCAATAACCCGGCGATCTATTTCTCCCCCCTGTACGTACAGAATTAACGCCGTTCCCCTCCAGCATGTCTCTTCATATAAGTACCTCGGCGTTTACATTACCAACAATCTATCTTGGCACACGCATGTTACCTACATCTGTAATAACGCTAACCGAACGCTAGGATACTTACGCCGCAACTTTTCTCGCGCTCCGCTGTCCCTCAAAATTCTATTATACCGATCACTAATTCGCCCAAAGCTTGAGTACGCGTCCGCTATATGGGATCCCGTGCAGCTAAATTTAATTAACGCGTTAGAATCTGTTCAGAACCGCTCAGTTCGGTTCATTTGTTCTAATTATTCCCGTACTGCTAGCATATCAGAAATGAAATCTAACCTTGACCTACCCAATTTAACTGTCCGAAGGAAACTGGCGCGACTGCATTTTTTTCATAAGATATTTTTTCACAATCCATCAATGAAGCGAGACCTCATTTCACAACCATCATACCACTCATCGCGCATTGATCATCAGCATAAGGTTGCCATTCCGTTTTGCCGCACCAAATTCTTTTCAGCAGCCTTCTTACCGAAAACAGCAGCCGATTGGAACCACCTTCCCTCTTCCGTTGTATCAATAACAGACCCTTTGTTATTCAAGACTGCAATTTCTCAGCAATGCTTGTAACTATACGCAGTTTCCATTATCTATCTTTGTCTTGTATGTGCTTGAATTCTTATACATTTTTAGTTGACTTATGTTGCCTTCCTGATTTGCGCATCTGATACTTGTTTCTTTATTTTGTCTTTTTTTCTTGTGTGTTACATATGTTGTACCCACCCCCTCTGTAATGCCCTACGGGCCCTGAGGGTATTCTAATAAAATAAAATAAAATAAAACCAATGCACACGGAACTTGACCCAGACAATAATTCCCAGACCTGAAAGAATAAATGTTTTTCGACCGTGAATTATTCTTTTCGAAGAAACCAAATGTGTTACCACGTATGGCTAATGCTAGTTAAGCGAACGAGTTTTTTTTTTTTTTTCTCTTTATGAAATGGAATAGATATCTCCGTTGAATGTCTTAAGTGTGAACCATTTTAAAGGGACACTAAACAGAAACAATGACTTTGTTTAGATTGGCAAAGTGCACTATGAGATCTATAATTCAATATGTTTCACTACCATAAGTTCATTATGAACGGAGAAAATTAAGACAGAAGTCTCATTTTCAAATCTTGCGTTGAAGTCTCCGCGCGCGACATCAACATTTTCTAATTGTATTTTTCATATTTTCGCAGCATTGGCGAGATGACATTTTCTGAAACTTCGTATGCTAGGCCACAGATGACAATGTACTTCTTTTTTATCGATTAGAAGCTACGTAGGACATCGCAGACTCTCTTTATAATCTAGAACTTCATGGTGTTTGGTGCCGGAATTTCAAGATAAAGTCAACACCAGTATTTTCTTTTTACGAGTTTTTTCGCTTACCAAGCGTCACTTCACGAAAGAAGTAGTGTTTTGGAGATTGTAAAATTGTACGTTACTAATAAGCGAAAAATCGTTTTCCTTTTAAGTGTCCCTTTAAAGCTATCTCTACAGTATCCTCCACGGTGAAAATCAGCACTGCAACAAATAAAAATCAACGTAACACACTTACCGCACTCTGGAAAAGATACAATGCCACTGTAAGCTGGTTGAAGGCCTTTTGGTCGTGGTTGACTTCTTGCTTTATCTTTCCTGCACGTGCCAAAGAAGAAATGAGTGATAAAGCTCCCAATGCGTTGGTAATATGATTAACCCTCGATCATTTACTTTTTAGCTTCCCTGTCAAAACAGCTTTTTTTCAATTATATATAAAGTAGTTTGCTTCTAAAAAGGCTGTTTTTATTAACAAGAAAAATATTCAAGCATACATTAACTCTAATAAGCATAACAATGTTTAGAGTCCCATGACCTATTAGTGTCTTTGTCAATTTGCGAAATGATTTCATCGTCAAGAATGCAGTAAATGCAACCACCAAGTCATTAAAGTAAACTTCGGTAACTGAATAATTAGCACATGAAAAGCCCCATAAAGAAAGAAGTATTATTTTGCAATGATGTACAAGCGACGCACACGTAGTCTCCACTGAACGATGTTTTCTAAACATGACTTCCGGAAACATGTGAAATGCCAGTCATAATAAAGGAAACTGACAAGCAAGTGAAGTGACACATGAACTAGTTTAGCTTGCGAACGAGTCTCATTTAGAATGCTAATTGGGAGATACACTTAAACCTGCCTATAATGAATTTCTCGGTATTACAAAGTTTTTCTATTCCCCACCTCTAAGTAACAAAGTAACAATGGGAGACATCCTTAATATGATTAATTTTCGCCACAGAGGATCTAGGAATTCAGCCCCTGATTTTGTCATTTTGGCACGAGCTTGTATCTTTCCCGTTTGCACTGCCACCAACTAAGCGTAAAACAGTGGCGGCATGCACGGCGCGCTCGTGGCCTTGGCGACCCCCAGGCGAGAGTGAGCGCTCGATTACGTGCAGATGTGCGCGAGACAGGCCTGCGCCCCTCTAGCCGGCGTTGCCACCGTGGGCACATGCGCGGATCTGCCTGTCTTTTAAACCAAAACAAAAAAAAAGAAAACTGCTTTTTCTTTGGCAGTGACACCGTTCGATTGCTGCAGAAGTCTGAACAGCACTTTAAGTGACACAGGTGATGCAACTTTGCGTTGTTACGCTGTTAGTTAGCGCCACATATGTGGGGCCGCGCAGCATATGGACAGCGCTTTACCAAATAGTTTTCTGCGGTGTCCGTGGTCGTTAGCTCTTTCTTTTCAACGCCGTGTGCGCGGGCATGGAGTGGCCCTCGGTGACCTTCAGCTTTGCTTTTGTTTTTTCTTTCTTTCCTTTCCTCATGTTCTTTTTAAATGCGGACAACTACTGCGAAGATGTCAGATTAGGCGCTGATGGAAATTCTCCGAGACCACAGTGACAGCGACGGACCTTCAAAGGTCGACTCATCCCGCGCTTTACCGTCTTGTGCTACCTCGGGAGCTTGGGGGACTGTAGCCTTCCCGATTAGCTAGTTAGCTCTCACAACACGACGGGGCATTGAATGCAATGCAATGAATGTGATAGCAACAAGTGGTAATATTATGCCAAGTAAGGTTGGCAGCCAACTCTTTTGAATCCGATATCGAGGAGCTCCTACGAAATGCTGGTGTAACCAAATATGGCCGCTCCAGCTAGGGAGAAGTGCTCTTTTTACACAGTCTCTTCACGTTGAAAGCGGACTGATGCTTACCGAGATAGCACGTGCACTAGCGACCACGACCGTGCCCTAAAAATTGAAATCTACTGTTGCTTTTTTCATGTTAATTCAAGACGGTTGGCTTCTTTTCTGTTTGAGCATTCGACAGCAGTTCAATCAAGCGAGGGGATAGTATCGTATGCACCCTCCAGGCGATAGAGATGGGACGCCACAACGGCACAAGCTGTAGTTCACTCACCAATAATGTGCTGGAGGCCAGTCTTGTTTTGCTCTGGGATGTAGTTTTTGAAGCCATCAATGAGAGACACAAGTTGTTCCTGCAGGCAAAATTGAACCATGGGTTGCAACACGGTGATGCAGATGACAAAGCAACTCTTTACTTCAAGCATGCTTCCAAAGAAAGAAAACACGGCATGAGAACAAGAAAGAGACTAGTCAACACACTTTTACGGCTCATATGACAAGTTAAAAGAATGTGCAGTTTGAATACGTGGGACACTGCAGCGTGTGATGGGCAAAAATGCCACATAACTTGAAAGCTGAAAAAAATTTTTTTTAGGGCTTTATGTGCCGAAACCCTGATCTGATTGAGCAACATGCCACAATGGATGGGCTCCAGATGAATGCTTGCTCCCCAGAGATAGTATAGTTTTTTTTTTTAAAGGCATCGATCTACGACGATTTATTGATTGATATGTAGAGTTTATACTCCCAAAACTACCATATGATTATGAGAGACGCCGTAGTGGAGGGCTCCGGAAATTTCGACCACCTGGGGTTTTCTAACGTGCACCCAGATCTGAGCACATGGGCCTACAACATTTCTTCCTTCATTGGAAATGCAGCCGCTGCAGCAGGGATTCGATCCCGCGACTTGCGGGTCAGCAGCCGAGTACCTTAGCCACTAGACCACCGCGGCGAGGCCATTTGCAACGATTAATCGTCTTTGTATCCTGCTGCCCCTATTGAAATTTGTCTGCTACAGCTTGGATGGAATGCAAAAATTTGTGCATAGCAATTGTATTCCATAGCTACTAAGCTACCACATTGGTTAAAGAAATGTTGAGTCTGCCCATGATGGACGCGGAATATCTGATGCTAAGGAGATATTTTATTCAGAAAAAAATAAAATGTTAATCTCTAGCCTAGTGCAATGAAATCTTTGTGCAATGAAATCTTTGCTGTATAATAACACACTATGCTGATTTCAAATATGCAGTCACTTTCATAATAGGACTTACAGTTTTTGGGTTGTGCCATGACAATGTGTAAAGTATAGTTTGCTTAGGAAAAACTTTTTGTTGATTACTAAACTTTCATGGTTCTGAGTCACTAATGGCTCATATTGGTCAACATTAACTGTAGAATGCAAATAAGTGTCAAGAAAGTGCACATAAGCTACAGCAGCAACAATGACCATTAAACAATTTTTAGTAGTGTCCTTCGAAATTCCAGGTGTGCTTAGTTCAACTGTGCCCGCTAGATAGCACCACCTGTCCCGCGTAACCACACAAAAATTGAATTTTCGAAGTACTCGCGCCGTTCCCCATAATAACGTCCTGCGGTTATTTTTTCCCCGAATCAGACAGAAATGAACAAGCAGCATTTTATCGCGTATTTTGATGCACGAAAGGTTTTCTATTTAGTGCAGCTAGATCGATTACTAGTGATTAATTGCAGGCAGATTGTCTGACATCATCAGGATCATTTTGAGAATGTTCTACTGCCGAATACGTATTCTTGTGCATTCACCCTAATTTCTCGGTGAGTAGGGCATTGCTGTTGATAGTGTTGTTGTTGTAGACATTGTCATACATTGAGCTTTCGCTTTTATGTCAATTGTTATTTGAATTTAGTGTCCCTTTAAAATGCTCTAAGTGTGATGCTCACACTAGAGCATCACATGTCCCGCACAAGAACTGGCAGCAGTCGAGGTATGGTTATTCATTTAGTATTTGTCACTCTGATGTGTATTCAATCCAGACGTTAGCCTAAGAAAGACGTGATATCGCTTTTGATTAGACAGTCGTATACTAACAATACAGTGGAACAAAGAAATAAATGGTTCTTTTCACAAATGTTTCAGTGGAACAAAGAAATCAAATGGTTCTTTTTAGAAACATTTTCACATGGCTTCACAACTAAAATGGCTGGCAGTTCAGTTCAAGCAGTGCAAAAGTGAAGCAGCTCACCTTTGTAATGACCAGGTCGTCACCACTATCCTGATGCAGCTTATTCATCCATATGTCACAGATCTGATAGATAAAAATGGGGAAAAAAAATAAGATCAATGCATCCACACACACAAAAAAAAACTGCAATGGTAGCCATAACCATCAAGAAAGGGAAAGAAGACAACCACTCTGTTGCAGCACGAAGCTGCAAGGAAGTCCGTACAGATTTCTCAGAAAAACCTCTTCGCCGAAACATTCTTCCCAGTCCAGGCTTCGCGCTACAATCGGCTGGTTGTCTTCTTTCCCTTTCTTAACACTTTTGCCAACTTGCAGGTTTACGCAAACTCATTAGCAGTCATAAGCATTTTGGCAATGGTCATTACTAGGAGCTCACAATGATGCCCTATCTTTTTTTTATACTCGTACTTTACTGCTTCATACTTGTTGTCCAGAAAAGAAGCAAACAAGCAATAAGGTTGACGGATGGGCTAGTTGCTGGTCGATCAATATATTGTAAGGTTAAGTAGCGCACTTTTTAACGTGGACAACAGGGACAAGGACACGACACAGTCCTTCTTGTCCCTGTTGTCCATGTTAAAGGAGCCCCGACACCGAATTTGGAAACTCGAGATGCTTGTGCTGTTTAATAGTCCTGCATGCGGGGCAACCTCTGATCGATTATTAGTGGCGAGCGTAGCCTAAAACATATTTCAATTTGGTTTTAAATAAGGGTGCATGCTCTTCCGAGTATTAAGGTGCAATCGACATTTACTGTGGCTTCACATAGACCGAGACTCCACTTGTGACGTTGCACTTGTGACGTTGCACATTTGTGGGACACGCACAATACCCCGACTAGCACCCGGCGAGGACTATTGTTTGTCACTGCTCTCGCTCTGTTGTTGGGCTGCTCTAAAGTAGTTTTGGCTGCTTACACCAAGAAAGCTTTTCTTTTTCAGAGGGGGACACGCTCTAAGCACCCACATTGTTTCATTTTTCACTGAACGTGAGTCCCCCTATTTGAAAACTGTGCGTTTCAGCCCCACCAAAGCTTGAGCGCATTTAGTCTCATGTGCTGCTCTGCTGTGGGGTGCTACTTTGTTACGGTATTTAAGCAGGCGTTTCAAACTTACAAAAAATCATTTTGAATTAACGTCACTAGTAGTAATTATATGATGTGTTAGAGCATTTACAATATACAAATTACTGAAAAAAACTTGCAAACAATAAACAATACTTTCACTGTCAGGGGTCCTTAAAAAGTGCGCTACTTAACCTTACGGTATAATAAACAAAGAAGATTGTGAGAAGAGTCTAGTATTGACGCTGTCAGTGAAATATCTCTTTTCGTTGCGTGTGCATGGCTACAAATATTACATTGCAATAAAACAGCGACACAACAACTGTTCCAAGGCAAGAAAAGCTGTTATTTGAAGATGCAATGTGCTTTGGTATTGTTTGTTCTGCGTCGTTCCTCATTTTCATCTGTCTTGCCACATCCAATCAAACCAAATACCTAGTCTGCCAGTACATCTTAAGAAAATAGAGAGGTCCTCGAGCCTGCAAGCATATGCATAGCCCTTTCGAAAATGCAGAATCTTCAATGCTTCCAATGACACTGTGGTAAGACCATTTCCGGCTGAAGCTACCAAATACTAAATTTTGATATGACCCAGATGTGATAACACTCGTACCGTGTTCCTTACTGCCACTATATAACATTTTCTTCTGCAGGGGTGGAAGCGGGCTTTAATCTTTTGAAGCAACTGTGGGAGCAGGAATAATAAGGTTTTGGAGCAGCTTTGGAGCAGTAAAAGGGGCGTTTTGGAGCAGCCCTGGACCACCAAAAGACATGTTTTGGAGCATCGAAATTTAGTTTTGGAGCAGATTTCTTGGGTCACACATCACAGTTACCTATAATTATTGCTTTCTCTTTGCTTTCTCATAAACACAAAAATTTCAGTGGCTTTTACTAAGCATGCGATGCTGATCAAGTGACCAGACTTACACCAATATATATAATATAATATAATATATATTACACTATATTATAAAGTAAACATATGAAGCCTTACAACATCAAAGCTGAAAGCACAAGAAATCAAAGAAAAAACATAGGCGGCACTCTGGACAGCTACTCAGATGAATAAAAAAATTTAATGTTGAAATGTTGCAATGCTAAAAACGTGTCTAAAACACCACATTCAATATGAACAGCAACTCAAGACTAGAGATAAACTACTATAATTGAAGTTATGTTCATACTAAACCAATAGGGCTCCATAAACATAAATGTGTCCATTTCATGTTCTAGTCATTGAAGTGCCACAGCGGACATAAGAACTGCAAAAAAATTTAGATGGGCTTGCCCTGTCTTTGCCAGGCAATTAGGCAATTTTTCTTATTATGATAGGAACTATATGGACACTTGACGGGTTTTCGTCGTCGCCGCCATGTTCCACGTAAACTACAAGTTGGTAACAATACATGCACATCCTACGTTATACCAGCCCGAAAAATTGCACAAGCTGGGGTGGTGAGCGCTGCTCAAGCCGTGATCAAACGAGGCAGTCGATCTCCATCGCTCGTCTTGCTGTGATGGTCTAGTGGCTAAGGTACTCGGCTGCTGACCCGCAGGTCGCGGGATCAAATCCCGGCTGCGGCGGCTGCATTTCTGATGGAGGTGGAAATGCTGTAGGCTCGTGTGTTCAGATTTGGGTACACGTTAAAAAACCCCAGGTGGTCGAAATTTCCGGAGTCCTCCACTATGGCGTCTCTCCTAATCATATGGTGGTTTTGGGACGTTAAACCCCGCATATCAATGAATCGATCTTCGTCGCTCGGAGTGCGCTTGTGCTAGCATCCCATCGCGTGTTAGAACTGCCGTCGAATGCTCAAGCAGAGATGAGACACGCCACCAATCTTGAACGAGCGTGAAAAAATATGCAGAGAAAAAAAGGGGGCGGGGGGGACCATTGCTCCAGCAGCAGCAGTGAACTTTGATTCGAAGGGTGTGGTTGCGATCAGCTGGCACGTGTGTTTCGGCAAAAATAAGCACAGGGCTCGTAAACCATTCTACATGGTGCACTCTCAACGGGAAGAGATTGTGCGCATTTCTCCCTGGAGCGGCCGTGCTTTTCTCTTACACCAGCGTTTTGTAGAATGTCACGATGTCAAATCCAAAAGAGTTAGCTTTCAGCCTTGGTATTGTCACGGGGTCGTGAGGTTGACAAAGGCAGCAGCCGCTGTTTTCATGAGTGAACATTATTTGGGTGAACCTGTGCCTGGAAAGCGAAACAAACACTCTACAAGCAATACAAGCTGTAGAGTGATAGCAGCAAACCAGAGCGTCGGCCATCGATAACCTGCCAAGCAGCAAAGTGCGTCAGCATTTATACATGTGCCATCGAAGATTCTAGCGTTATCCCTAGCAGCTGCGTAAGTTTCAGAACAAGTTCTAAGGTACGCGTTACACTCTTAATCTCATCGAAAAGTTTGAAGATTATTTCGATTGTCCGCAATCATTCGGGCGCGGTTTGCGCAAGGCAGTGTTACACGCGTAATGGTGGGGTAGCAAAAATAGAAAGAAAGGAGCGCGTGCAGCATTAGCATTACAACTTTACAAATTATTGCTAAACTGATTCTTATTTTTCTTTTTTCAGTTTATATGGTTTGGCTAATAGCTTAACTGTTAAAACATATGTAGTCGCATAATGAGGTATGCACACAAACGCCACTTTAACAAGATGCATGCATGAACCGAAATACGACGTGATCGAACTGATTTGATATGCACGCAGTTTCATCCTCTGTGTAGCCTACGCGAGTTGCCATTTAGGCACAGCTTGGCACAGCAGGTCAAATTGGCGCAGAATGGCGCAGCATTTCCACCCCTGCTTCTGTCGCAGTAGAAAATATACTGACCAAACTGCCACAGACTTCGAATTCTCTTTTGGTGAGATTATCAAAAGTGAAACAAGAAAATAGGATGCTACTATCAATAAAGTGCTGAATAAACAATTGGCCATCACAGCAAATTGATGACATAGCAATAAAAATAAATTGCCTTAGCATGACAAAAAGCCAATTCTAGTTGGTAAGGACTAATCACGTGCAAGGTAAGGCATGCAAACACGGGCACACGAGGGAAATTGTGTGGTGTTTGTGTTTTCTCGTTCTCCTCATCTGTGTCCATGCTTCAATGCCTTACCTTGTTTTATGATAATTTGCCTTTGTCTATGACATCTATAAGCCTGTAACAACAATGCCCCAGCGATACATAATTATACCGGCTGCGAGCACTTGCTCATCCTCCTATACTAATTTTGGTTGATGCCAAGGTAAAGGGGTGATAACAAGAGCACCCAGTCGTAAGTGGCTAGATAGATAGATAGATAGACATCAAAAATAGTTGCAGTATGCAAAGAAATGCTTTTCATTTAGTAAGTGCTGCGGCATTTAAGAAGAGGACAAAAGCAGCGTCACTTACTGTGCCACCGTTTTCCTCGAGTACGCGCAAGATGGTCTGCCGCCGCTGTGAGTCCTTTTTGAGGAGGTAGAAGCCGCCCGACTCCTGGTCCACGGACGAGCCATCCACGGGCGGGCTCAGTAGGCCAGAGCTGCAGCGTCGCATGCCACCCTCCGACGTTTCAGAACTGCGCCCCGGGCAGTCAACACAGGGTTTATCCCTAACCACAGCTTGACAATGCTGGCCTCCACTGATCAGGGCACACCCATAGAAAGCTCCCGCTTTCTCAAGTTAGCTTACACAAAAGCAAGAGAATGAGACAAGACTAGACTAGGTATGGACTAGGTAATGATGTTGTTCTCCTCAGAATGACATCATTTCCGGTTCGTAAGCCATCCTATGTCACGCTGTTGACAATGAAGAAAACTTATTTAAAACCTGCAGATTAGCAGCCGGGCTTAGGCCACTCGGGTGGTCACAGTAAGGTTTAGCTTTTCCACCGCTTCCCAGGTCTGCTGGATGACCTGAATTCGGCCTTCGAATTCTGAGCTAGCCAGAGCGTCAAGCCAGTGCGTCTCATGGAGGTCCGGGTTTTTGGTGATGGAAAAGCCGTGTAGTGTGTGGGCATTTCCAAAAAATGTGTTCCATGTCTGCGCAGTAGTGTTTACATAGGATACTGCCAGTGTCAGAGAATAGCCGGGGGTATATGCGGTTGAGGTGCACTGGGTTTTGAAATGTTCTCGTTTGTAGGTGTCTCCAGCCTGCCTCTTGTGACCTGTCTAGTTTAGGGTGGGGTTGTGAACGTATCTTCCTCTGTTTTTCGTAGCGAGCCAATGTAGCTGTTTGCTATATATATATTTTAGCACGAAAGCGTTCTATGCCGGGGTCCACCACGGTTTCGTTGACATATTTATGTCGTGGATATTGCGTTGTAAAATATATACCAATATATTGCAAAGAGAAGCGTGAAGAAAAAGTTCCGCGGCGAGGCATCGAACCGACTTTGTGCTCCTCAGCGTGCGACACTATCCAGTAAGCCAAAGTACGAACCTTCTCCAATGTGTAAACAGTGAGCCATTTATCTACACCACATACCGCTGGCCGTCCTCAGAGCTCGGAAACTCCAGCGCGTTCTCGTTATCATTAGCCAGATGGCACGACGAGCGCCTGCATGCACTAAAGGCCGACGTGTTGCGCCACTTCCCGCGTCGCTCTGGGTGCGCGCCTCCACATGACGTGGTCAAAATGCGTATTCTCTAGCGTGGTGGCTCACTCGTGCGCACACTTATCTCGTGATTCAGGTGCTTTGAACCTATCTCTTGTGCTTCCACTGCAAGTTTACTTTGATGTTACAGCAGTTAAGGAGAGCACGAATGTCAATTCACTCGCTGCCATTTACGAAAGGAGCATGCTGCTCACAAACGAAGTAAGGACTGCGACATAAGTTTGTCTGAGCTCGTCTTCTGTACAATCATTTCCTACGTGTTTTCTCCTTGAGGTACATGCTGCAAGTTTCGAGCTGGTTGCCGTTCTTCGCATGACACTGCAATTTGTTGCTGTAGCATTCATTCTTTCGTCTTTGTGGTGAAACAATACACAATGAACGCTTAACTACTTCTGTGAGTAACTTTTGTGTTATACTAATTCCTAAAAAAGGGGGGGATCAGCATCGTTTTTTTTAAAGGTAGCTCTCTTTTTATTATTATTATTCCTTTTCTTTTTTTTCTTTCAGCATTCCAAAGAGCAGTCAACCAAGTTTCAATCATGCTAGGAGCCATTATAAGGAAGCCAATCAACTGGCCAATTGAAATCAGGACACGCTGTCCTATGGTCTAAGCGAGCAAGAAAAGACGCAAATCAATCTGCTTTGGCACAGGGGACAGCACAGTTCCTACAGCAGGAGATGATTAATTTAGAATCACAACGACTAAGCTAATGACCCGAACTGGTACACCGATAGAGCACATGCAGGGAGCCCTCTTGGATGAGTTGACAAAAGAAGAAAGGGCTCTAAAACATGCATGAGGGATATGGTCACAGGGCAGTACTCCTCGTGAATAAAGCGATCGACAGCATTCGAAAGCTAAACGAAAAAAAAAAAAATGTCCATTGTTACTTCAACAAGGCACAAGAAGACTTCATTAGATGATACGTGTCTTCTGAACAGACAAATATTTTGACACTGACTTGCCTCAGACGCTCACAAGCAAACGGTCGTATGCCAAATGTGACCACAATCACACAAATGTAAGCATCAAATGCAATTCTAACAGGCACCGCTACAGGTGTTGTTTACAAATGAAGTAAATTTATAAAGGGAGTAAATTTTACAAAGGGAGTAAACAAGAACTCGGTTGTAGAACTTAGCCCAAGAACAGCTACAGATATGGCACCAAGGAGACTGACCCAATTTCGATTACGTCCATACTCGTTATGCCGGAATATGCCTTTACTATATACAATGACATGTGATTACTAGCCATCTGAGCCTTACTTTCATATGCCAACTAAGTTGTTATATCAGTGCTACTTATTTATAACTAACAAGTGCTAAAAAATGTTATTAATTACAAAGGAGCTTAAATGTTCCTGACCAGTACTAAGTCTTAAAAGTCGCTCTTCGTAGTTACAGTAGCAGAGGGAGCAACCCAGTCATAATTAAAGATTTTGCTATGACAACTTAAAAAGAGAATGAAAAGAAAATTTGCAAGAACAGCTACGTTACCCAAAGGAAAATGTTGAGGGTGACCGTGGAATTGCATCCGTTGGACTTGTGGCCGCTGCGGAGCTAAGAAGAAAGGATGTCCTAGATTTAGGATGGGGGCAGAGGCCGGAACATTTTTTTTTTTGGTGACCATAGAACAGTGGGACAAAAGTTTAGAGAAAAAGCAGAAAGAAACAAAGAGGATACAATCAGGCACCGAAAGCACGGTGCATTCAAGTGAAACAACAGAGGAAGAAAGAATAGGCGAAAAGAGGTGAGGCAAAAAAAAAAAAAAAAAAGAACACAGTAGTGTTAGGGTGCATCTGCATGCAAGAAAACACCCAAGCCCTATTGCCCGCAAAGCACTGCCAACCCGGTTAGAGACACTTATAAAAGCCCGCTACATTGCACACCTGGCTACGTGGAATCTACAAAATGCAGCGGCTCTTGCTGAAATGCCGGCACGACGAAGAAACGCAGGCCAATGCAAATTTACGGCACTTCTCTCTCTTTTGGTGAAGCAAAGTGAGCGATTGTTAGCTCTTTTCATGAATGTGGAAGCGATGATACCATATTTTCTCGCATATAATGCGTGTAAACACTCTCTGGCTCCTATCTTCATTTGCATTAACCAACACCAGAAATTCTGCGAATGAGCTCTTCAACGCTGTCGTGTTAACATACAACAAACTTGGGTGCGAATTTGGGGTGCAATTAGGGCGAACTTCTGTGCGCAAGTTGGCTTCATGGCATGGCTTCACGTTAATGCAAATAAAAATGTCCTCATGTCAATACATAGAAATATTTTTATTCCTGCAGCCTGTAAAAGAGGATTGCAGTCGTATGAAGTGTGGGTAATACGCAAAAGAATATGGCATATTACACTTGTAGAGCTGTATTTAAATGAAAAAGCACATACGTAGAAACAATGCGGAATTACGGCACAGACTAAGAGAGGCATGAAGATTGCACAGAAAAACTGCGCTGAGCTTGTCAAATTTCAGGTGCTCCCATGGTACCCCAAAAGTGAGAAAGTGCCAACTATGAAAGGCAGCGGCCAGCAGCCTCTTGTGCCGAAGCCTTCTTGAGCAACTAGAAAGCAGCACTTCACCAGCCTATGCACCCCTGAGAGAGGCTCTTCCATTGTGCGCAATCATGCTCCCTGCAAACACCCCCCCATGCAGTGGACACATCACACCGCTGCCGCTTTACCTCTGGGACAGGTCAAATCGCTCGGGCCGGGGAATCCGTGGGAGCACCCGCTTTGCCTGGCTTAAGGTGGTCGGGCTAGCCTCGCAGGAGCCGTAGCCTCGATCCGAGTTAAACTCGACTGCTTGCTCATCTCTAAAAAAGAGGCGGTAAGAGATGCGGGACGCCAGCCCGGCCCAGGGGACAATTTTTGTTTGCTGTCTCATTGATGAACTTAACCTAAACACTGCTTTTTTTTCTTTTTTTGCACCAATGAACTCTTTGGCCACTGCAACGGGATGTTTCAGAGAAAGTGGTGAGAGGAGCCTCTCGTCAACAGAGTACACGATACGTAGTTTCAAAATGAATATAGAGATCTTAGGTAAGTCACGACTGGTTGTAAGTAGTATAAATTGATTGGTTGTAAGTCACTTCCTTTTGTCTCGTAATTACTGCAAATAAACTCTGAACATAACATCCCCTACACCTTTCTTGGCTTCACTACCTGTTGGTTTGATACAACTGTGTTTCAACAAAGATGTGCCTCTAAACCTAGTCCCCCTCTTTGAACTGCCCTGCTCCATCATTTTAGGAGTGTTTACTGGTGCCAATCATTCAGCCTAATGTAAACTACTATGGAAGCACATTGTTTTGCACAAGCAACCAGCATTAACATTTTTGAAACTGCAGAATTCCAAATGTTTTATGCTAAGCACCTACCCCTCCAAAGTGCCAGCATCAGCCGAAACAGCCACCCTGTCACGGCCGTCAAGAGACTGCTAGGAGTGATGACAGGAATATTCAATAACTTATGGTGGGAACAGATAAACCGATAGGGCTGCAGGTAACACACAGTGACAACTAGCAATTGTTTAAGAAAACCCAGCAAAACCCAGCAGTTGCAGGGCTTCCCTGATAAAGCGTGTCTATTGCCGCCACTCCCACACTTCTCGTTCGATCCACTGACAGCACGATGTGGGTACACAGTGACCAGGACGACTAAAGTCACAGAGTGGCACCGCGCAAGGAAATTAATGTACGCTGCACCTCCCGGCATTTCTATGTAGATAGAAACGAGTCCGCTTTCGAAATAAATATGGCTTGTTCGATTCCACAGCCATTGCAGCGCTGCCTCAAAGCTTTTCGTTGGCTGCCATCTTTGGTTTTTGCTGCCATAACCAGACAAGCGCGCATATCTCGATGTAATTTTCAGCAAAAATGAGGTGGGGGCTTCCGCGGTACTTTAGAGTGCAGAGTAAAGGCTTCCCAGATGTGTCAAGTAAAATTGGATAGCATGATTCTTCTTTGACACTTTGAAGACGGGGACAAAGTGTCAGCAAATAAAGCCTTACCTTTTCATGCCAACAGAGAACAGAGATAGTAGCTATATGCTAATTTGATCACAAATATGACAAAAACTATTGCAAACGAATGCACACATGAGTGCTGCTTTATGAACTGAAGCCCTGCCTAGCTGCAACTTTATGTGGTACAGACTTGAAGAGGACGGTAGCCTTTAATGCGAGCCTGAGATGACAGCTAAACGTGGCAGCACATTCAAGTATTAAGGAAGCACGAAAATGATATATTAATATTGCTCAGAACAGAGTAACCTATGAAAACTATACTTTTTCTTTTTCTAGGTCTTGCATAAAACTGCATCATCGAAGATGTTGACACATAATGATCTCAGTTTCTATGAAATTTTGGCATATTGGGCAACAGCTATGTAGAGTTGCCAGTTTCATTGTTCAGTCAATTAGTTTCCCTTTTACACGAAAATACTAACGAATAGGAGCCCGATAGTTCTGTCAAAATTTGCATAAACAAAGAGCTCCCATGCTCTGCCTTTATGCAGACTCTGCCTTAAAGGCGATCACACTAGGCAAAGTTGCGTTTTTAAGTATTTTGTTGCTTTGGTATTGACCTACCTGTCAGTCTGGAAATGTACTTTTCAAACACAGCGCAACCTTATGCTTTCAGCATCTGCTTGGCATTTTTTCCTTTTTTGTTACCACAAAAAAAAAAAAAAAAATAGACAGACCGTTTTTGGTATGTCTGAGTTATGAATTTCCTATGCAGCAGCCTACTGGATTTACAATGCCCTGTATATATTAAAATGAGGATGAATAAACACACTTTCGAACGGTGCTTACTCCGGTAAAATATGCGCAACACTTGCATGCTGAAAATATTTGTAAAAAAAAAACGAGGACACATTTTTCGAAAATTGTGAAACAGTCAAGCCTTGTTTTGTCCTGCTTGAAACATTTCTTTTTTCAAGGAAAAACATATAACACACATTATAATTTGATACACCTGAGTGTGACCACTAATCGGACATTCTCTAGGTACATTCTTGCAAAGCAAAAAGTAATCAACACAAGTGAAATCATTCACTTGCCTTTCCATTCACTTTCTTCTAAAATAACTTGACTCATAACATGCTGGAAAGCTGTGCACCAGCTTAGTCATCATTGCATTCCAGCTTTCACAATGTCATGTGACACTGACCTGATTTACAAGATAGGTTGCTTAGCTTGGGGCACCAGTACCATACTTTGTGATGAGACACGTGGCAGCACAACATAGTAGCTTTGCATATAAAACGTGCTGCCTTACATCAATGCTGAGTCCTCGTTACCTTCAGGTCAAGACCGGCATATGCATCATTAGCTTGACGACATTCTCGGCAGAAAAGAAATAAGTGCCGACTTTTCAAGAAAGGAGGCACGAGACAGACTGTGGTCAATATTTAGGGAAGGGACACTTCGGGTGCAAAACGTTATGATATTACTAACTATCATAATGAACACCCAGAGCTATATAAAATTGTCCACACCAAATGAGCAACATTTCCTGCAGCACCTTAACAAAAACAATCGCGGTACTGGCCCTAACTGCTGACGCCTGCTTGTGGAAAATGAACCAGAAGTAAAAAAAAAGAAAAGAAAACATACCCACACGGCCTGGGACTTGTTCCGTAGAACTTTTCGTCCGACAGCAGCAGCAAAAAGAAAAAGCCACAGGCCAATGCGCAAGCCAGCATAAAAAGCACAAGGCCGAAAATTATAAACACCGCATGAAAAAAAAGTATTGTTGTCAATTTGGCTTCACCTAAAAACAAACAAATAAAGCAGCAAAAGAAAACACAACTGGCATGCCTAGTGTACAGCGTATGCTTTTCAGACACAAGCAATGAGACACTGACCCGTCCTCCCCGGTGCTGGCGAACCGAGACATGCGCTCCGGCTTGTCCATCTTGTGTACACGATCGGCCGGAACTGCGGTATAACACACATCTCCCACATCTACCATTTTTGACAAGACGTAATGGCTAGAACATCTTGCTGGGCCAGTTTCCAGAACACAATGAGCACTAACTGTAACAAAATTTCAAGTTGTTTAGGTTTGCGAAGACATAACAAGCACACTAATGTTGAATTTCAATGGGAAAGTCAGAGCAGCCGACGGTATGTGCGTGAGAGCACTAGACTCCGGTGCAGAGCAATGCCTTCGGATCCGCGTTTGGAACACAACACGTGCCACCAAAGGAAGGTGGAAGCTGAAGGTCTATCTTTTGGACGACAATTTATCGAGTAGTACCGTGTGCACAGCCATTCCATTCAGCTGACAAATTAAGTCGAATCCGCTTGTGCGCATCAGTTTCAGTGTCGCTGTCACTATGGAGCATGCAAAGCAATTCCTGTCGTCCGCCACTACCACCACAACATGGGAACACCGACGGTGCCCCGTGCAGGCAAACATGTTGAAGAAGGTATGTCGACCCGAGTTCTGGTCCACTACCCCGAATTTCGCGGAGAAACTTTTTCTGCTGCACGGAGTGACACCCACTTCAAATCCATTCAGACTCACAATGGAACGCTCAACTCCTACGCTCACTCTGTCACTGGAACACACTTGCTCCAAAACGAGCAGAAAAACTTGCTCCGACTCCTCCATTGGAGTTCAACATTAAATGGAGGAATAATATAACATAGACAACTTAAAACACAAACTGGCAGAGTAGTGAATACATATGCCATCCCCTTTATAATCGGTACCACACATAATCGGGTAATTGAAACACTGGTCAGAGGCTGCTTGTGTACAAGGCACATAGAACAAGCAAGGCATGCGAATCTGGGAATCAGCATGCGACCTGGATGTAAGCAACAAGTGAAATTTGAAAACTTTCAAAGGTTAACATACCAATACCCATAGTGCTGACAAAATGAATGTGGGAAACAAAAATGCTTTACTCAAATTGTGATCGGACTGCTAGACTGTGATGTAGCGACAGCAGTCACCTTGATCCCAATAAGGCCTGACAGTGATTAAAAGTGACCACGCATCAGCTCCTAATCTGTAATTCGAATCGGCCTTGATTGCAAACAAAAGTGCTCATGCGACTGTGGTGCAAATGAGCGGAAAATACAGGGACATCACCTGATATGCTTCGGCTGAAGTCGGGAGCAGGAGGCCGCGTTTTCTTTTTGCTACTGGAAAAAAAGACAAAAAGACATCAAGAGAATATCGAAGAAGACAGAAAGATACTCCTTTTTTTTCTAGCTTTACAGCTTATAAAAAATTCTATGCAAAATAAATGACAAAAGGGAAAACATGCCAAACTAACTTTGCCATTCAACGCAATTTAAAGAAGCTTTTCTTGAAATAAGAAATTAAAAAGTCCTTGATTTCCCTCTAACTTCAACAAAGATTTTTTTTTGCCCCAGAAGTGTGTGTAACATTATCATGCTACATCTGGGCACCCAAGTCACAACCCCAGCTTTATTTTGACAAGGCTGCACACACCATGCCCTTGTACACAGACTCTGCTATCCGTAGCACTCTTAAGTACAGGATAGTGCCCAAGAAGGTTGCGATTGCTTTCACTCTTCATGGTTTGTGCGACACACAACACTGTCTGCCTCCCACAACTCGTTCAGTCTTGTCACACGACCACTACGTTCGGGTCTTCGCTTATGAACAGCTTTTTATAGCTTCACGTGACTGTCTACCTGGCTTCCATTAGCCAGACATTGTGCCCCAAACCTCCACAGCCTTCTATTACTTTGACATCTCTCATAATCATATTGTAGTTTTGGGAGGAAAAAACACAGATATTACTATTATTTTCAGACATGGTTCTCTCCAAGTCCAGGAAGCATGGTAGTCTCTACCTCCTGGTCGCCCTCGAGCCACCCTTGCGGACTTTCAACAGACAGGTATCGGTTGGTGGAAAAACGATGTCGTGGTGGCATTTAAGTATTGCTACATTTCAATTTTAGATTTCGAAGGTCCAAAAAATTTCTTCCCAATCTTATCAGCTTCCAGATTTCATTATTTTGGTGCAGTCACCATTTTGTTAAATGGAGTTTTAATTTTCCTTCTGCAATTGGTGAATTGAGAACAGCAGTTAAGGAAAGCTGCTGTTTTTCAGACTATAATGAGTGAGTACAGTTCCAAGCTGTGATTTAATGGACAATCATACCCCCTTTTTTTCGTTCACCTCAAGATGAATTTGCGATATTACTTTTTTTTTGACGCAACTGGAAATTCGTTTCTCAAGTTAGAATTGGCAGGTAACAATAAAAGGAAAACTTCAAAACAAACATAGATTTATCTGAATTCAAGAAATGATGACACAATGTAATAAAAAGGCTCGGGTATTACTCACTCTGTTATGAATGGGTCTTCTAAAAGTTCCGCAGCAGTGGCCCGTTTTGCAGGGTCTGGTTCAAAGCACCTGTACAGCAGCATTTTACGATTGATTATGTCCTTCTTTTATTTAAGTATTAGCACTTTCCCAATCGGCTCCCCTAATGATACACGATGTAAAAGATCATGGTGGTAAAATGGATGCTGACGTTACCGAGAAGTTGGTGATTTTATTCTGGTTGGAGACCTAGCATGTCACGGAGGTGCTTAACATAGACATGTCATAAGTAGTGTGACCAGTGCGTAAACTGTATGTTGTCAGAGATGACCACATCTCCACAGACACGGCCCTAGTCGACAGCCTATGGCAGCCATGGACTGGCTACAAGATGGGACACAGCTAGGCCTTGGTGGGCCCAGCTGTGTCCATAAGTGCTCATCTGAGTCTTGGCCACAAATGCTCGTCTCACCGCACCAGATGTGCACAACATTGAGCTATCTCCTCCACTGTCTCCCTCCTGTGGCCATACGCATAAAGTACAGTGCCTGCGTGCACCTTCAACAATCCTCAATTTAAAGAAAAATTAAAATAACATGCTACATTTTGCATGCAATGTGCACATTGCATGCAAAATGTTCAGGAGGTCCTGGATTCCAATGTGCACATGGAATCCAGGACCTCCTGAAGGCAGTGTTATTCAATCATACGAGTTGCGAAACTTCCCATAGACTCCATGTATGAAAATCCAGACACACCATTGCCCAAGATGTCGGGAGTATGCAGATCGTCACGCCACCTGTTAACCAGCACACCCACTATTAAATGCATTAATTGTGTTTTGTGTTGTCGCTCCCAGATGGCGTGGCAGCCTGCTAATTGCCGAAAATTCGGGCCAATACATGCCCGGGTTTGAAACACAGTTTTGCAACTGGTATGAAAAAATAACTTTGCCTGAAGCCATGTGTTGCAGGGCTTTGAGACAAGGGCTTGTTTGTTTGATGAGCAATAAATGCAAGCACATGAAAAGTACCACAAGCCCCAGGAAGCATAACACAAAAGACACATTAGCGAATTGGTCCGCCGTTCCCTTTAAAGCATAGGGTTGCTTTAAACTTGATGGGACTGGGGGTTTTCAACGCCGGTCATGAACACTTGACCACTGGCCAAAACTTGAGCCATTCCAGTCCACAACCAAAGCCTCATTTCTTCTGTGTGACAAGAGCACCCACTGACATGATTACTAAATAGTACGCAAAAGCTTTACATCTGCTAAGTGGCAGAATGTACAAAACACCAATGCGACACATTACAGACATGGTGTTCTCGATGGGAGGGTGCTACTAAAATTAGTGATACCTCCAACTGGTTCATTAGCACATGAAGTGTCAATCAGAACTTGCTGAAATGTGCACCTTCAGAACGTTATTTTTCTTAGACATAATTCAGCAGAATACACAACTTAGACACAGTGTCTTGTGCCCCTTTATGAAGGCTTTCAGACAGAAGCAACAAACCACTTAACACACAAGGCTTAACTCTGTAAAATCTAAGGCAATATGCACATGCCGCTGTGGATATCAGTGGTTAACGTGTCGCTCTTTCTTTCATAACTACTCACCTTTTTATGAACTTCTGGGCTTTCTCTGATAAGGATGATGGGATCTCAGGATGGATCTTAAAGCACCCCACTTTAAACATAGCTGCCTGTGGTGTGCCAAGCTGCAATGAAAAGAACAAATCCATTGCGAAATTGTGTCTCTTGCAGCATAATGTGAGCTTAAACGCCAGAGTTTTTCTCAATGGGCCTGCTAATGGCAGCGAATTCACAAAGAATGTAACGAAACGAAAAAGCTTGAAGTGATGAGAGAACAATCTAATGTACCACGCTTCGTAAAAGTGAGGTGCACTTCTCCTTATTAGTAGCTGGGGATCATTATAGCACGCACAAGGCTATAATGTCAGCGACGACACCAGATTTCACACAACTCGCACTCTGAAATTTTCACTTTTCAAGCCTGCCATAGTAATTGTAGTGAATGGCATATGGTTCAGCTAAATTTGCCTTCGGGAAGAAGCTTTCATGAACTACAACCCTTTCTATTAGGTTCATTCATGCAGGCTAAAAAGCAAGAACCCCATTTGAGCAAGAAGCCATACACTGCTAGGGTGAATCCTATACATATACAAAAATACCCAATAATGCTAGAAGAAGAGTTTTTGTTCTACTTGCATCACTAGTACAACACCACACACATGTGATGAGACGTGCGCGTGTGTCATAGCGGAAAAGCCGACATGGACGTAGCAGATGAATTCACCAGACAGAAGCGCGGTGGAAAATTTGGCGCGAAGAAAAAGACGACGAACAGTGCGGATAGAGGAGGGGGTCACGCGGTTGGCAAGCCGGTTTAATGGCCTAAACCCCATAGTGGGTACGAGCCAAGGCAGGGAAAGAAAAGAAGAAGGCGAGCAAGCAAGGTGGCGTCGGATAGGGCGGCAGCGAAGACGACGGTTCGCCAGGGTCACGGTCGTGGATTCGTCCCTAGTGCCTGGCAGGGCTTAAGTGTCCGAAAGCATTGCTTCGCTTGGCCTCAAGTGTCAACGGTACTTAGTGTACGCATCCTGCTCTGTCGGCGCATCTGCTTCAGCGTTGCCCTGCTCTTCCCCGAACTCCTGGTGTGCCGGCATGCCAGAGTTGCATCGTGCTTACGCAGACGTGCCCCGCAAACATTCCAAACTCTCGCCGGTGAGACGTTCACATGTTGGAACTCGGTTTAGCCTGGTGTGTTACTTCTGCAGCTTTGTCTCCATTATATAACGCCCTTGTCATGTGTCCTTTATGTATGTGTCTGCTTAAAGTGAAAAGAAAACGAAAACAGCCTTGCCGGTTCCTTTAGAACGTTGCTGTCCCCAATGCAACTTGTTCTCATATCTTTATTATTTAAAGAACCCCGTAACAACACATAATGCAAAAGATGCGGGTTCTGCAAGCTTTTGTTGCAACCCGTCACTGTCTAAATGCAACTACAGCCAAAAGGTGGCGCAAGTGCTACTTATATAATGCCTTGCGAAGCTCGACAAACGAACATCACCGCTAATAAACTTCAAAAGTCGCAGTGCTACAGTTAGCACAACTCTGAAAGCTGACATTCAGATAGGCAAACTTAGCAGATGAGCACCCAAAAAAAACCTCAAATAAAAAGAAACTAGGGCAAGTACTGCACAACACCATAGGTGTGTAATATGTCCACCAGTGACAGTCAAAATGAGGAAAAAAGACAGACCTCGATGAAGGGAGTCTTGCCGGTGGCCATCTCTACGACTGTGCATCCCAATGACCAGATGTCAGCCTGCACAAGGCATGCAAATCGAGAACATCAGCCGAAAGAGAGACGGCAAGTTTCACACTTCATTCTTTTTAGAAATGTCAGGCACAGTTAGAAGTTTAGCAAGTGATGTGAATACTCACCGGTGCACCGTAACCTCTCTGGCCATTGTCAATCACTTCAGGTGCCATGTATTGAAACGTTCCTGGGCAGAGATATTAAAACCAATCGTTACGAAAAGGTGTTCAAACAGGGCTACGGTGTTGTGAGACGAACACTTCTAATACCCAATTAACGTGGACGTTGGAAATTACTCTGAGCCGGACACAGGCTTCAAACACTACCCCTGTAAAAGCTTCTAGAATGAGTGAATTTGCAGTGTGTAGCGCGTAAACACACATTAACATCTTGCCTCTGTGGCTTTCCAACCATTCAAGGTCTCAAATGCCCCCACAGCTAATAATTGTCTCGACCCCACTTATTAGGAGCATGAGAGCTGCAACGCGGACACGAAAAGGTGCTTCCTTTGTGGTGTCGTGCCTTCTCATGTGTCTTTCCACATTACAAGAAACTGGTTCAACCTTAAATCACAGTGCATTTGCCACTATGCTACCATGAAGGGCACCGGAGAGGTGAAGACTCCCTTTCAACAATCAGAGATACGGAAACAATCTAAGAAGATACACCGATGTGTTACAGAAGACTGTTACTGTCAAAACTAGCATGTGCCAATTACCCTCTGTACAACCACTCCCTTCTATTTTCTTTTAATGCACTTAGTACCACAAAGAGAGATTAGAGCATCCATGTTCGATAGCTTCTAGACAACTTCCGTGCAACAGCTTTCATATGTCTGAGCTGCACTGAAAGGTAGGCTATATGAATATTCAAAATTTGAATATTTTTCAAATAGTGTTTGCTATTTCATACAATTAGCATGAAAATTTTACTATTTGAAGAATTCCACCTTTTGGAAAAGAGACAAAATTGTTTATAATAATGAATACTGTAAATAAAAAAACACTTAATCGGCATGCAGCATGCTTGGCCCTGTGCTTTCGGGAATCGGCTTGTCGAATTTACTGCTAGCCATTTCCACTGATGTTCTGAGCGGTGGCTACTAAAAAAAAGCTGCGCTTACTAAATATACCCTGATATACAACAAACCCAGACATAACAAAATGTCTGATATAATGAAGTAAATGAAGAATAGCCTAGCAAGAGATATAGTGTTAGACTTTTATAACAAATTTTCAGATATAACGAACCAATTCTCATGTTCCAAGCAATTTCATTATAATGAGGTTTGAGCGTAGGTCAATCTTTCATGGCCTTATTTTTCAACTAACTGTCACCCACATTTGATGCAGAAAAGCCACGGGTTAACGACGCAAGCAGTAAGTAAATGTGCACAACAAAAGGCACCAACCATTTCTTTGTATTGAAACCAACCTGTGAAGGTGCCCGTCACCATGTTCATGCCTGCAAGACGCTTTGAAGTGCCGAAGTCTGTAATCTTGATGGCACCGCTATACGTGTTCACCAGCACGTTGTCACCTTTGATGTCACGATGTACTATTCTCTGGTCATGCTAAGATCACGGAAATAGAGAAAGAGACAACTCAAGTTCCAATAGTAAGCGAACGTGCAGAAAAGTGACGTTTCAAGTACAGTCATGCATTTTGAATGAGAGTCAGCCAATTGCAAATTATGCGAAAGCGAGGGCCCACCAGTTTCAAATATGCATTTAAACAGGAGGCACAACCAACAATTTCGTTACATTTGTAACCTAACACACACACACACACACACACACACACACACACACACACACACACACACACACACACACACACACACGCACGCACGCACGCACGCACGCACGCACGCACGCACGCACGCACGCACGCACGCACGCACGCACGCACGCACGCACGCACGCACGCACGCACGCACGCACGCACGCACGCACGCACGCACGCACGCACACACACACACACACACACACACACACACACACACACACACACACACACACACACACACACACACACACACACACACACACACACACACACACACACACAATAAAAGCAAGGTCGTGTCATTGTTAGGTGCCACAGAGTCACTAATCGCTCCTACAAATTCTAGACTAACAATAAGTAAAGCAACACTGATGGTTAAGCGAGTTTGTGATACCCAATAGGAAAAATACAGCATGCAAATGGATGGGGCAAAGAAAAGTAACAGCACACCATTGCTGGTGTTGTTTATGTTCAGGTAGCGCTTGAGTTGAGTTACTTTCCTTTATACCGCCTGTCTGCGCATCATACTTCTTCCCATAATAATGGATAACGATTAAATGAGGACGATCTCACCAGGTACTTGAGACCTTCCAAGATCTGCTTGGTGTAGAAGGCAATAGCAGTCTCGTTGTTCAAAGGACCCCACTTTGACCGCAGGAGCTGGGACAGACTCCCTGCAAAGTGGACCAGCACAAACCTGCAGATCAATACTAGTAAAGGCTTGTTTAAGTAAACCTACCTGGCAAATCTTCAGGTACACTTTTAGCATGCATGCATATGCATAATCAAACAATGACAACGAGGTGACAATGACAAAGCACTGTTCATTTTCTAGCTATGTGCTGGATACTAACACTGTATGGACCGCTTATAACTTAAGTAACGGGAGTCATGAATATACGCACTATAAGTGGGGCCGCACTATAACCAAAACAATCTTTTTCAAGAGCCGCAAAGGCACACAACGTGTTGAACAACAGCCACGCGTGTCTGAGAACTGAAGCATGCAATGTGTGGTGCTTACAACCTTTTAAATTTAGAAATGTTAAAAAAAAGTTGACGTCCACATACACGTGTTGCCAGCGAAATGAACACGAAAAGGTGAGGGCTGGGTGTCTAACAAAAGAAAGTACTATTACGGAAATTTGCCAACTGCTTCTTAGACCGCCTCAATTAGTATGCACATTACATGAAAACTATGTTGATTCAGGTCTGAAATTTCGTGTGCTGAAAGATGCCAATAGCTTGATTTTACGGACAAGCTCCCCATTTCAAGACGTCACAATCGAATCGCGAAGCACCATTGGAGTGCTACACGTGCCATCCTCTTTGACGATATTCATCTCTTCCCATCAAGTGCAAACACCGCACGCAGAGAGTTTCCTTGATTCCGCACGAAATTGCAACTTTGATAGCACGCGACCGATCACGCAAACAACGCCGGTTAGGCCTAACCTGCCGTTTGGTATGTTGTCGCGGAAAGTTTGTCCGATACATGAAAGTCCCATGTCGAAAAGACCGCACTCAAGTACTGAACCAAGAACAGCATGTGTGATACGAAGTTCACATTTGCGACTGGGAGATCAACGGCGACGAAAACCCACCAAGCTAGACTGCGCACTGATTGCAAAGCCAAAAGCTCACGTGATAAAGCCGTAAAAGGTTTTAAATTTACGATAGCAAACTCGATATCTCTTGCAAGCACGATAAGGACTATGCTTTTCCCGGCCAGAAACTGTTAAGCACAGTTGATAAGGAGGGTATCGCACATGCCATGTCGTGTCGCGCACATGCCATGTCGTGTCGCGCACGTCCAGGGCCACACCAACAATGATAATCCATGGGCATCGGTTCAGAGACTTATCTGTGACCGATACTTGGCGAGCCCACACAGCGTGCCGGCGGTCTTTTTTCCTTTTCTTTTTCTTCTCTCCGCCCTTCGTTCGTTCACTTCATGTCCCACCCTTTTTCGTAACGACCTCATCGCTCACACCCCAGCGGAACCGCACCCAGTGCACCTCTTTTCAGATGCGCACTTGCTACCGTGATTGTGACAAAGATTTTCCGGCAACCGCATTATAACCAGTCTCTCATCTTGAGGGACTGCACAATATACACATGCATGTACATGTGGTTCTACGGGAGTGTGAACGAGAGTCGAAAAAGACCGCATTGTTAAAAATGACTGTTCAATGTTTAAATACTATTCAAAAGGTAATCAATATTAGATTTGATTTGACTGGCTTCTGGATCTGTTCATTTCATTCTCAATTTGGTCTTAAAAATCAGCATTTACCAGCCCCCGAAAACCAACATAACAATTTGACAGGATTTTGAATTGCTGCTTTTAATGTTAGAACTGTAAATACTATGACGTAAATATCCCTTTATATTAATGGTGAAAAGGCTCCTTCGGTGAAAATATCACTATATTAACAGTGAAAAGGCACATTTCGAAGTTATTCAAAAAGTGCTCAATATTGAATTCAGTTCAACTTAATCCTGCATTTAATCGGTTGATATTCTATTTGGTCTCAGAAATCATCGTTAGTAACCCCCCTCCGTCCTCCTGCCCCCTGAAAACCAACAACCAAACGTCCCCACACTGTTTCGTACAATAGACTCTCCGTAAACAAAGATCTCTTACAACAGCTGCTTAAATAGAACACCTACGTCTTATACGATTGGTATTGAACTTCGTATTCTGCAATCCTGTTTGATTTACAGTAAATGGCACACTCGTGTTAAATGAAACATATTTTCCTAATCCATTCAGGTTCCGTTCAGCAAGAGTTTATTATATACTGAAGAATTCAACAAAGCAGAGCGCATACTAACAAGAATTTACAGTAAGCGAGAAATTCGATATAGCGGAGCTCAAGTAAATGGGAACTTAGGATTCAGTTCAATGGCTGTGTTCCAACTATAAAGAACTATAGTATAGTCTAGTGTCGCAACGAGCAGGCTGCGGCGGCTGTTTCGGCGGTCCAAAGCGACACGGACGGCCGCTAGGATTTTCGCGGCGCCACTGCGCCTTTTCATGTCATGTGCCTGAGGAGAGGGCGCGCCAGCGGCGTCTTCTCTGGATAGCGCGGGCAGAGCAGGAGTCAATCAGTGCGTGAGTATGTGTGTGAGTTTGGCGCGTTGAGCCACCGCCACCTGTAGGAACTTCATCAAGGCCTGCAAGCTGTACCGCATATGTCAACGCACTGAAGACGCTGGTTGTGTAGTGCGCTATGGTGAATACAACGCAGCCGACGCCAGAATTCGGCGGCGTGTTTGCATCGGCGTTGCAGTCCCTGCAGCATCACTGCGTTTCAACGAGAAATTAAGAATGTTGCATCGTTCTTTGTGTGCCGTCGGGCTCTTATAAGTTGTGATGTGTGCTGCTTGTGGTTGTGCTAGTGTTCGTCAGTGAGTGACTAGATTGCGAGCAGCTGTGGTGCCAAGAAAGTGTTGTGTCCACATTTCTGTGGAAATTGTGAATCTGGGCCGCGAGCGCAGTACCGTAATTACTCGAATCTAACGCGCAATTTTTTTCGGTGAAGCGAGTTTATAAATCGCATGCGCATTAGAATCGAGTACAGAAAAAAAAAATGAATACGGTCATTCTATTGCCATCAGCATTTCCAAAATGGCCGTCCCTTAGAAGCGTCGGCATGGTGCGTCGGCCATTTCTGCCTATGTGTTTCCCATGTGCGGCATTTCGTACGTGTTCTGAGGAGTTCGTCATCTTGTAGTGCATTAGCATCGACGGCATGGAAGGACCGACTCCAAAAACTCGACGAGAGCACCACGATGCCGTTCTTAAAAAAAAAGTCATCGCGTGTGTTGAAAACGGATGGAAATCGGGCCGCATCGCGGTCGTTCGAAATTCCCGAAATGTGTGTGCGGGACTGGCAGAAATAAAAGCAGAAGATTGTCGACAGCAAAGATAAAGGCTTCAGTGGACCACAGCAGGATCGGTTTCCGCAAATTGAAGAGCTGCGCGGCGAGTATGTGATTGAGCAGTGAGCGGCACAGCGGCCTGTGACGACAGAACTGCTCCATGTGCAGGCTATCCAGTTAGCCTTAGAAAAAGAGCTAATGCGGAGCCAGTTTAAAGCGAGCAGGTGCTGGATAACTAACTTTATGAAAAGGAAAGGCTTTTCCCTCTGAAGTCGAACGGGCATATGCGAAAAGTTTCCGGAGGAGTACGATGAAAAGCTTCACAGTTTTCAGAGGTTCGTCCTAAACTTGCGGCACAACAACGGCTACCTGCTTGGGCAAATCAGGAATGCCCATCAGACGCCTCTTTACTTCGACATGCCTGGCACCACAACCGTCGAGAAGAAGGGGGCGAAGCAAGTTCGTGTGCTGACATCGGGCCATGGTAAAACTAGGGTGACGGCAATGCTCCGTTGTACGTCAAATAGGCACAAGCTTCCCCCGTACCTCATATTTAAACGGAAGATGCTCCCGAAAGGAGTCGTTTTCCCGAGAGGTGGGATAGTGCGGGCCAACGAGAAAAATGGGTGCGCGTTGCAATCGATGTCTTACTTTTTTTTTTGTCGTGGAAACCGGGTGCGCGTTACAATTGAGGGCGCAGTAGAATCGAGTAAATACGGTATTTGTATTTTGCATTGACTAAGGCGCGTAGAACGCACGGATACGGGCCATCTGCATAGGGATAGTGTTAGCCCAACAAAACATGAAAATGTAAATGTCCTGCTTTTCTTTCATTTTGTGTACTGTGTTATATCTAGTACCGTGTTATTACGTGTCACTTTTATCCTATGCGCGCGTATCGAAGTACGCGTTAAGGCCAATACAGTCGAACCCCGCTGCAACGAAACTCACGGGGATCGGAAAATATTTCGTTGAAGCGAGAATTTCGTTGTAGTGAAATCGAAAAAATATACCTGATCTGAGCTAGCAAAACAAAGGAACGTTTATTTTTAAATTTAAAAAGTGTCCGCTGCTTCCTATTCTTTCCCAGCAGCGTCACGACGCGATTCACAGTCGTGCATAGCGAGGCCATGGTGAAAACCACACAGAAACAACGCCTACAAATACTTTCATAAACGTACCCCAAACACTTGCATTAACACGTTAACACCAGTAGCCGTACGCCGTCATGTCTATCCAACAACGCCGAGATAGAGGCAGGGTATCGTAGAGCGGTGAGTTTTGCCTTGATTTATACCATTCTTATCATCCATAACTCGCGGCTAGCTGATTTGGTTGCTAATGTGGACGAACAGCCGCTATGATTGGGTACAACACTGGCTAAGCGTGAATAAAATGATAAGCATTGGAATCGGAAGAGGTATCGCTCCGCAGTTGCACGCAGCAGCTGCGTGAAGAAAATCATTAATTGAGCAACTGAGCTTCAGCTTTGGATAATCTGCGGCTCGAAAGCAACCCAGTGGCTAAAGCAGGGCTATCCTCCATGCAGCAGGGCAGTCTCATTTCCATCACTATCGGCAATGGCGGTGCCCATGCTTGCTGAACAGCGGCGGTTTCTGGTGGCGCCAACACGTGTTTTAAACTTTCTCAACATACTTTCAGGTTCTCAAAATGCACCAAAGTGTTAAAGATTGGGTTTTCTGTATAGCAATAAATATCTGAGCCTGCAATTGCATCGTGAAATTTCGTTGAAGCAGAACGGCAGAAGAAAAAGTGTTCGTTGTGGCAACAATATTTGTGCATTGACTCCTATGGACTGCTGACAGGAAACCGTGAATTTTTCGTTGTAGCGGAAATTTCATTGAAGCGGAGTTCATTGTAGCGGGATTCAAATGTACCATAAATGGGAAGCATAATGCTGTCGCTTTTTTGTCATTCGCAGATGTTCGAAATTATTTTTAGCCACAGTCATATAGACGAGAGGGCCAGCAACGGCCAAAAGGAAATCCCAGTGCACATGAAATGCGCCTTTTATTCTTTCGGTCTGTGTGCATGCTTCTCAATAAGTGTTCTTGCGGGACGCGTACCGTGCTCTTGTGGGCCGCGGGCCCCGTAAGAGAGCGAAGCCGATGAGCGTCTCTTGCAGGCCGGATCATTGCATTTCCAGTTCTAACAAGCCACTGAACTGCACGTGTCCCAATGCAATGTGCTGCATTCTCTCACCGTTCCCGAGGTGGAGTCTGCACTTTGTGAGATATTCCGCAACAAAACATCTAGCTCGCGACATGTCGAAGCAGAGAACAGATTCTCATTGCTCTGCGCTGGGTTGCCCAATCGTTTACCGGGGCTCTCCGAAGGCGTCGCTGTTTGCAGCTTCCAGAGATGAAGATCTCTGCAGGAAGTGGGAGTGCAACCTCCGGAGGGCTGACAAGCCTCTGACCGAAACTTCAGCGGTGTGCGAACATAATTTTGAGCCAACATACACCCTGTGCGAATATGTGCACATGATAAACGGCAGTGAAGTGCGCATTCTCCGAGAAAAACCGTCACTGGTTCTGGATGACATGCCAACGCTTTTGCCAGGTTGTCAACGCCGTAACTACCGTATAATGCGGAATATAGGTCGAGGCGGAATATAGGTCGACCCCCTTACCTTGACCAGCAAAAAACAAAAAGAAAACGCGGAATCGTTCACTGCTTCACTTTAGTCAGTCCTCACAGTCCTCCGAGCTGTCGGAGCTCTCCGACGACGACGACTGCTTGTCACTAGCCGCCTCCCACAGCATGTCGTCCTCGGTGCCGTCGAGAGCGTTGCTGATGCAGCACTTCTTGAATGCGCGCACCACCATCTCTTCAGGCAGAGACCTCCATGCCTCGGAGACCCAACCACAAACTGTCGCGAGAGGTGGCCTGCGCAGCCGGCCTGTCGGGGTCCGCGGGTTGTCGCCAGCCATCCATTCGGTGTACAGCGCACGCACACGGTCTTTAAAAGGTTTATTGAGGACGACGTCCAACGGTTGAAGTGTTGATGTCATTCCTCCCGGAATGACGACAAGATCCGTCCTTCCGTCGCGAAGGCTCTCCTTCACCGATGCTGTCAAATGCCCGCGAAATGCATCCAACACGAGCATGTTCCGGCGCTGCAGGAGGGCTCCGGGCCGCCGGTTCCACACTGTGCGGATCCATTCGCGCATTAGGGCCTCGTCCATATACCCCTTCTCGTTGACGCGGACGACGACATCCCGCGGGAAGGCCTCCTTCGGCATCGTCTTCCGCTTGAAGATTATGAAGGGGGGCAACTTTCTGCCGTCGGCCGTGCAGCAAAGCATAACGGTGAAGCGCGAATGCTCGCTACCGGTCGACAAAAGCCTCACCTCTTTTGCCCCGCGTTCACAAACAGTCGTGGACGACGGCATGTCAAACCACACCGGCGTTTCGTCGGCGTTGCCGATCTGGCCTAGCATGTAGCCATGCTGCCGCCGGAGGTTGTTCACATAGAGTTGAAACTCTATCAATTTGTCCTCGTACATCTCCGGCAGCTTCTGGCATATCGACGTGCGCCGTCGAAGCGCAAATCCTTTGCGTCGCATAAAGCGACGGACCCAATAAATGGATCCCTTGAAGTCTTCTTTGACAGGCCGGCTTCACGGGCGAGCTCGACGGCTTTTGAGCGAATGAGCTCCGCATTCACGGGAAGGGATTGGCACGGTACTCGCGGACGAAATCCGCCACTTTGTCCTCGAGTTCCGGGGTGCACAGCTCGGCGACCGCGAAACGACGTCTTCCCTCGCGTTACACACTGACAGTTGGATTTTTGGTTGCGCCAGTATCTGACGCTTTTCTCGGACACTCCAAACTGCCGCTGTGCCGCCATGTTGCCATTCACTTCCGCGAATTCTATAACTTTTCTTTAAACGCGGCGGTGAACTGGCGCCGCGTCCCGGTATTCATAGCTGGTCGCAGAGTAAAGTCGCCACTCTCTACGAACACGAAATGAACAGAAAAGAAAATGGCGTCGGCAGAGCGTCGGCCCATGGAGGCGATGTCGATGCTGATGCCCAAAAAAACATGCGACAACTCCCTGTTGCCAGACGATCACTTTGTTTAGCCAAGGGCCGGTATATAGGTCGAGGGGTGACTTTTTAGCGAAATTTTTTGGAAAAAATCTCGACCTATATTCCGCACTATACGGTAACCTCGTAATTTTAGGTTTGCATAAGCCAGAAAGCAAACACGCTTTAGAAGTAACAGCATCCGCAGCTCCGCAGGAGTCCGCGACAGCTCGACAACGCAGCCGAAGGTGGCATGAAAAGTAGCAGCAGCGCCACCTGGCGGCATCCGCAAGAAAGCTGACGCCAGGGCCCAGCCGGTCATGCCACTAGATCATATTCTAGTCCACTATAGTTCCAATTCTATGACAACATCGTAGATAGTCTATGGTATCGAGTCCATGTCGTCTGAGAAATGGAACACGTCTGGACGACTTTTACGCGATGACGCGCCAACTCACGCCGAGAAGAGAAAGCTAAAATAAACATTGGTATTATCTTTTTAGCCTATTTTGTTTTAAAAGAAAAATTGAACATTACTGACATTGAGCATCTGGAGAAGCGTTTTCTTGAGTGCAGACGACAATTAGGGCGACATCAGACCTTTCCTAGGTTTCTGAGCAGTTCGCTGAGCCACCATCTTGTTTGGACAGCAAAGTAGCCTGCATTTTATTCGTCTATGATGCGGAATTTTCGAACCTATCTTGCTGGCTACGTGAGAACTGGAATCGGACTTAAGATGGCCGCCGTCCACTTAGCTGTCTATTTAGCTGTCTACGGTGAGTTTTGAAATACATCCAATGTTTGGATTCTTTTTTCATACCCTCGGGCCTCCAACGATTAATAAAAGCAAGTAGCTTGCTGTTGAGGCTCACCTCCGGGCACACGCTCCATGCAGATCTTGACAAATCCATTTTCGCTGATGGAACCGTAGTAGCGCACTATCTTACGATGGTGCAACTGGGAGTGCAGCTTGATCTCCTCGTGCAAGGGCTGCACTTCACTCAGGTTCTCCTCCGGGATCTCTTTGACGGCAATCTTCACCTGGGTGGTCAGGTCGCGGGCCGCATACACCACCCCGTACGTGCCTTTGCCCAGGACAATGCGCCGACCCTGGTCATCCATCTCATACTCAAACTGCATCGGAGGAAAGTAAAAAGAGATGACGAGTGCTGATGATAACGAGTGAGTGATTTGCAAAATTTCAACGTCTGAACATTTGAGACAAGTAAGGGGATGGGAACACCGCGTGATGCATGGGTGTGAGCCTTCCTGAAGCGAAGCACATCAAGCCTGAGCTACCTGTACTCTTATGCTTTACATTTCTTGCACTTGTAAGCGACTGCCTTCATTTGAGACCCAACGAAGGTCAAGAACTTAGATGTGAGGCTTATATATCCGAGGTGTTGGTCCAGCCAGATTAGGGCCTGGAGCAATTTTGAAGCTAAAAAAAAGTCTCTTGGAGCAGATACGAAGCAGGAGAAACAAGGCTTTACAGCAGATTTGGAGCAGACAAAACGAAACTCTTGGTGAATATCCTTATTTGTGTGCGTACTTAACATAATGCTGCAAAAGGGCAAGGCTGACACTTAGAGAAAACGAAAAATGACAACGAAAAAAGAAAACGAAAAATGCCATAAAACCATCAGTCTAACAATTGAAGAAAAAAGGCGAAGAAACTCACTGCAAATGAGAATGTACCATTTGAAACTGCCTTCCTAGATATTGAATTCAATAACCACCCCTACTCACTACGGATCAGTTCCATCCTACTCAATAATTTGTAGAGGCGTGAGCATTGAACAGCATTCTCCTTTCACTGCCAAGGACTTTGGGTTGAGCGCTTCTGATATTTCACATACTCAGAAAAAGTCTTGTAGAACAATAAAATTCGCATAAAATGAACTGATGCCAAGCTGGAGTCATTGATCAATCCAAGTATAAAGTGGAGGGATGCTCTTCTTTAAAGCACCTTGAATAAGCCAAGTTCGGTAGTTAAAACGTTGGCTTTAGCAACTACCCGTGTTAAACAATGTTTCTCCTCAAAATGCTATCAAGCAGCAATCGCTTGGTACGAGTCCTCGTGCATCACAAACGGTTGGCCGGACCCCTCCCCTCCTTCCCCCTGGGACCGCTGTAACAGGGGTCCTAAGACTGGGTTCAGGGTTCAGCAAGTGCCGAGGACTAGTGTGACTAGACTTAATCCCAGTTTTGCCATGCAGTTCACACTTAACAAGTCCACCACACGACTCATTAGGCAGTCCACGCACAGTGAGAAATCTTCACTGCAACGCCGCTCAACACTCGCCAGTGTGCGATTTGCGAACAAAAGGTGGCATCAGAAGGAATCAGTTGGGAACACTTGCATGCCTGGATGACTTCTTTTGTCGATTCATAACAACACATTGTTCTTGCGGCCTTTATGATGCATGTGAACACTTGTTCGTTATTTGTGCCCAACTGCGTGGCTCAGTTCTACATGATCGTGCTTACCACAGCATTAAGTTGGTTTCGCGATCGAGATAAGTCGCGCGGCAAGCTCTAGGATGTGTGCGAGTAGCAGCTGCACTGCATCGAGTCCAACTTGCTCAACCAGCGCCTTTCGGCGTGGCTTTACCATAGGCATAGAAGAATGTTGGAAAAGCAGGCTTGTGCGAATAGTGAATTATAGGTTTAAAGCGAATTCGAAGAGAATAGTGATTTTGGTTGAATAACTTCGAATTTAATTCATATAGTATATATGGCATATTATAAAAAAAAATAGGTATATTCTTCATGACCTAACCTGCAAAACATTATTTATAGATTGAAACAGCAGTTGCGCAAATGCCTTTTTTTTGTTCAAGTGCAAAAAACTTTCAATAGGAGCAGAGCTTGACTGCAAGTAATTATCTGTGAAATAAGTAATGTTTTAAAATTTACTATACTTAGAGCATATGGGTCAGTATAGTAAGCTTTTAATCTTAATAAATGAATCGATTTGAGCGTAATAGTATGTTCGTTTGACCTTGAAGTGGGGCTTCGCGATAGTGTGAATTTGTTTTAAAAAGGTGTTTTCACAGCTCGGCGCCTCTTTACTACAGTGAAGACACCTTTACGAGAGTTACATGGGGCTAATATACACCTATTTGTTTATTACGATTACTTCGAAATTTTCAATTTTTCAAATTCGAACCGAATCAAATTCAAATACTTTGCTATTATTTGAAATATCTGAAGCATTCGAATATTCACACAAGCCTATAGAAAAGACATCTAGTAATAACAGTGATACGACACTGATTGATACGTAGGGTTTAACGTCCCAAAACCACCATCTGATTATGAGAGACACCGTAGTGAAGGGCTCCGGAAATTTCGGCCTCCGTGGGTTCTTTAATATGCACCCAAATCTGAGCCCACAGGCCTACAACATTTCCGTCTCCATCAAAAATGCAGCCGCCGCAGTCGGAATTCGATCCCGCGATTGCCAGGTCAGCTGCAGAGTACGTTAGCCACTAAACCACCACGGTGGGGCTGTGATATGAGAATGTTGCGACATTCCACGCACCCGAATACATCCTGATCCGTCGTCGAGGTCTATGTCCATGACCACTCCTTCCTGGTTTTCTGTCAGGGCCAGGACGAGGTCGTAGAAGCGGTTCTTGAGTGCCGGTGTCGGAAAGAACATCTGGAAGTCATCAGAGTTTTGGTGCACGTACAGGAACAGGCACCGTTCCTCTCGCTTGTACTGGCTGCAACGAACAAGTTCTCATTTGAGAATTAGCACTATGCAGGCAGCACTGAGGAAAAATTACGCAAAATGCAGTGCCGGGCCGACCCACAAAGTATCCACCAATTCTAGAATCCGAAGAGTCGTTAATGTAAGCTTAAAAATGCCATAAAAAATGCTGCAATGCTGAGGAGCTGTGCTATATTTGAGCGCTGAAAATTCGTGTTCCTTTTCTTTGTGCTTACATGTGCAAGGCTCGCGCTCATTTCAAACGTTGTAGCATTGTATATGTCATGAGGAAGGCTTGTGGCTGCTATGAAGTCTTGCACCGAGTTTAAACAGTTAAGTGAAAAAACACAAACACCACATGCTGACTATGATTGTACTTCCGTTCAGACATCCTCATTGCTTCCACTGCCATCATTTTACAAGCTTGCTGCAGGGGAACTTAGAAAAAACTGGATGTATTTTTTGCCATTCATCACGCCTCTGGCTTTCAGTCTTCGAGCTCTTAGTGACAGTTTTGCATTAAATTGTACCCTTGTTCCAGCAACACCATCTTTGTGCATTTAAAATCACAATGTAAATAAACCTGCTGAACTGTGCCTCAGCGAGCCAGATATATGCCAATGCCTTGTGATGTCCGTGATTGTGACCTGTGTAATGATGACATGTTATCATTGACTAACGAATATGAGGTAGTACAGTAGCTAGCGCCACTTAATAAAGGCTTGTGGAAGTTTAGCAGCATTCGGACATGGCTTTCAAGATCGAAACAATACGCCGCGACGAAGCACTGTCAGCTTAGTAGAAACCCTACAAGCAGAAACAATTCTGAGATCATTCGCATAATGAGCTATAAAATTCGTCGCTGGGCTTTCAGTTAAACCCTAAACAATAACACCCCTGCAGCAATTCAAGGCGGCCGTTTCTCTAGCAGTTCAAGATGATTTTAACTGGAGTGCAAACACATTTACTTCCACCTCGCTTCTCATTGGTCCAAGCAGCAGGAAGAGAAACCACAGATTTCACCGCTTTTATGATTATGATATACGGTGTTTTATGACACAAGGACAATTCGATGGCTAAAGAGCGACAGGTCCTAGGAGAAAGGAATGCAAACAATGATCACAGTAAGAGGCTGTGAAGAGGCCCTGAAATTCTGCACACTAAGGCATGTAAAACATACTCTAAGTGTCAAAATCATGAAAGCGACGTTGAATGTGTCTCGTGAGGATGACTACAAGTGGTCGTGATAATCAAACTATGAAGATATGTTCAGAGCACGAATGCCTCGTCAATGCCCTCGTGTCTACTATTTACCTCATAGTATGCTGCACCTCGGAGATACACAGACATGGCTCACTCACCTAATACTGCGGATGGAAGAGGCGGTGAAGAGCCACTCGTGAATCTTGCGGCACTTTCCCTTAAGCGTGTCAAGGCAGACGTTTCTGATCTCGAGAGACTTCTCTTCGGCACCCATGTTGACTGTCACGTAGCTGGGCATCAACACTTTGGTCGGTTCCAATATCAAAATCTGGAGCAGATTGGAAAAATTGATGTGCGTGTGATACAGAAATAAGCACAATACACTCAAACCTCGGCATAACAAAATCTGACCTGCCACGACAAAACTTTATTACATCTGAAAATTCATTAAAAATCTACCTTTCTAACACTGTATCCATTACACAACTGTTTTTCATAAACTTGGTTATACCCAATAATTTGTTATATCTGTGTTTGTTATATTGAGGTGTCATTGTACTACCTATGCCTTCGAGGCAACTAATGCAATGCATGCCAAATAACTTACAGGAAAACGTATGGTGTTCTCCAAGTCTGCTGAGTAAGTGGCAACAAAAAAATCCACCCAGAAGTCAAACACCTGCAAATGTTAAACGAAAAGCACACAGGTGAACTGAGAAATCTAGCTCAAACTAAACAAAGCCATGATTAGCAGAATGCTAGTGCCACGAGCAGCAATGGCACCCTTAGACACACCAGAAATCAAACATTGAAGATTAAACACAACAATCTTGAGAAAGATGTTCATTGTAACTTGATACAGGAAGACAGTTGGTGTTCTGAACGCTCTATGCAACAATAACACACGGTAAAACTCCTGTAGTGACTAAAACTAAACTCCTGAAGCAGAGAGAATGACTATACTCAGCGACAACATTTCTTGACAGCACCGTGGAAGCTACAGAAGCCAAATGCAATAATGGTACCGCACCAAGAAATACTGCACAAATTTACTAATAACTTTCTTATTTGCCTTGCTAAAATAAACGCTGCTTCATTTATATTATGAGATTTAAACAGTGGAGGAAAGTTGTAGTAAAATACAATTAATGTTCAATTTGCAGGAATGCCTCCCTTTTCTTTGCGTTTCTTAGACAGCACCACTTCTTCAGCACACAGGTGTGTCGAAGTAAACATGGCCTCTATGACATAGCTGTTTAGTGTACCGCCACAAATGCACTGTTTATTTCTCCAAGAAAAACTTGTAATATGATATTAAAATACACAAACTTGTAATATGATATTAAAATATACACTGAACCATTGAAATGTCTCTCCCGATCTCGTTTCTGTAGATATAATTTCTTAAATGCGGTAAAAATGTGAGTGAAACCTAAATCAGTCGCAAGCTGCCGTACTACTTGTGTAGTAACACAAATGTGTTTAAGCCCTGCCTCCATAGCCTTCGCTCCAATGTCAAAAGAAGTTGTCGCCGAGTATTGTGCATCCACTTCTCTTATTGTGGTCGCCTGCAAATGCTGTGAATATTGGTAAAGCTAGGCACGGACTCCAATATCGCATCGGTGCAGCATCAGTCTTGGAAACTACAGGACAGAAAAACCAAGTAGCAAGGTTGAGTGGACTACAATCGTGAGTGTTGTTCCGCAGCAGAACAGGCTTGAACAACAGCGGAAATCGATGCGCTTGTTTACAGCTGGTATTTTTTTGTACTTGCCTCACTTTCATCGCATCCCCATTTTGCTGTAACGTGAAATGCCTGGTGTTACCACGCAAAACGGCACGAGCAGTTAAATATTCAGTTCGTGGCTAGATAGGCTGAATAGGTACTGCCATTTAGCGGTGCCCAGTTGAACCAAGCTAGCAATATCAGGGCCTCTGAGATGGCAAAATATTGTTCAATGGCCATTCTTGCTACTGCAGCTCCCGCTATTCTCACTCTGCTGTTACTGGTTTCAGTTGCCTCGTAGTAAAGGCGGGCAACTTTGGGCAATGAAACAGTGACATCTAAGAACCCACTTTCTCGCGCGGTTGTTTGAAGTGCGCTAACATGATGCGAACCATTATAACGTAACCTTCAAAATAAACACTTCCTTAGCACAAAACTAGCACTACAAGGTGTCTGGACTGCTACAGTCGAAACCCGCAATAACGAAACCCCGCGATTACGAAATGCCCGCGGGAATGAAATATTTCCAGATCCCCGGCGAACGTTCATAGAAGCCCATGTATTACGTATCTCGCGGCAACGAAATGTTTTTGGACAGCGATCCCGCATTAACGAATTTTCTACCACGGTGCTTCGCGATGGCGGGGCCGGGAGCCGGCTTCTTGGGCTCATCTGAAAGAGCATTTCTCAGTGTTTAACTTTCCCGCCTCAGCTGGCTCCTCCCTTTAAAAACAAGCGCACAGAAAGCAAATGTTTGAAGGTCGTTTCGAGGCCCTTGAATGGCTGCGGCTGCCATGTTGCCTCAGCTCGCCTCGCCATGGGCCCGATGCTCGCTCCGGGAGATCGATGTCTGCTCCTTGTGCGTCGCGAGGACATGGCTCTCGAAAATTCCTACTTCGTGACGTTTTCACGGCTCGATCATCACTTAAGATATAATTACGCTTTTGGTTAAGATCAGGTAGTCGCGCTACGCGCTCGTAGTCGTACGTTACTACGAGCGCGGCGCGTCATCAGAGTCGTCTTTAGCCCTCACTCCGCCGACAGCAAGACTGCAGGCAGGAACGGCGCGCTAGCGCACTCGTGGCAACGTGCGTCGTCGCAAGCAACGAAGCTGTAAGCGGGGGCACAATCAGATTACTACGAGTGGTCGCACCGGATGCACGATCAGATTACTACGAGCGGGCGCGTGGCCTACGAGCGCGGCGCGTCATCGGAGTCAGCCTTAACCCTAACTTCGCTGACAGCGAGACTGCAAGCAGGAACGACGCGCTAGCGCATCTGAAACAACCCACGGGTTGTTTTTGATGCGCTGGACATCCTTCGCTCCTTCGGCGCACATGATGACGACGTAGCAATGGAACACTTTTTCCAGTGCGAAGGCAGAGCTTTGAATTTGCATGGCAAGGGTCGGCAAAGTAAGTTGACCGACTTCTGGCAATAAATTTTCGTTCTGCTGGCCGTATCACTGTTTTTATGTTTCATACTCGCGAAATTCTCGTGAAAACGAAATTTTTCTGTTTCCCCGGCGATTTCGTTATTGCGGGTTTCGACTGTATTTCAACAATAAATGTCGACCTATGTTTGCCTTCAGAGTCTCTTTTAAGCACAATAGAGCAGCCTCGTGTTGAACCGAATGTGAAGGGGCCAGGAATATATGTACCACTTAACGAAGTTTCGTTAGTTACTAAGAAATGAGCTGGGGTGCAAAATACAAGTACTAAATGAATCATACCAGAGACAGCTGTTCCATTTGAGCAGCAATTCAGTTAAACAGATTTCAGTTTACAGAAAGCTTACTGTATTATGAATATAACAAAATAGTGACTGTAAGATAGTATGCAACATTAGCTCCTTTTCCAAGTACATTATAGTAAACGAGCATAAATGAGCACCATGTAATGCCGCATAAAAGCATTGGAACAGCAGCAAAAGCGGAGGAACAAACCTGCTCTTCCGCACTTCTCTCGACGTCCTCGGGCCTTTTCCGGAAATGGCTGATGAGCTTGATGTTGTTGAATGTTGATTTCAAGAACCTGAAAACAAGACATACCTTTATTAGTTTGCGTTTTTGCATTCTTGCAGCCTAGTCTGTGCCACAGTGAGCACAAATTTTTGTGCACCTTGCATGATGAAACCCAGTAAGTGAACTGTTGCGTGTCCATGCATGCACTATCTAAGTCATCTTTATGTTCCCTCTTTCCAGTCGTGCCTGGTCATCCTGGAATGGATTAGGATTCTCAGTATGGATGGTCGAAAATTTGAATTAACGAATAATATTTTAAGAAGTGGTTGCTGTTTGATGAGATTTGCACAAGAATTTTACTATATGATCTATTCCGATCTCCCGAGGCAGTACAAAACTGTTCGAAGATCGGGCTGCTAGCAAAAATAGATTCTTTTTATTATTTAAAGCAGCGCAAATGGCAGGACAAGAATAGGAGAAGACGATGATAGGAGTCCACTTGTTGCCTGTCGTTTGCGCTGCTTTAAATAATATGGAACTGCACCAACTAGCCCAGCTGTCAACTTTGCTCATGCAATTCTATTCTGTTGAAGCAGTCGAATTGCCATAAGTACAGCCGCAGCCACATCTGTGTAAAGTGCGCGAGCAGCCGGTTTTCACTCTACGGAGCGACACCTTGAGGCAGTTTCGGGCTCTGATGTGGTGTGTCAGGAGCATGCGTCGCCTAGTAGTCGGGCTGGCCATGGCAGAGCCCTAAACTGCCTTAATGTGCTTCTCCACAGGACAAAAACCAGCTGCTTGAGCGCTCTACACAGACGTGGCCAAGGCTGTACATCTGAAATAGCTTTAGTTCCCCCCCCCCCCCCCCGCCCCGCACACTTATCAGGCATTTCAGTGCACACCTAGGCTGTCGTAAATACATAAATACATTGGATACCTTATGCAAGCTCTGCCTAACTACGTAGATAAATTTGCGTTTTGTAATGAGCTCTGCTGATACCAGCAAAGTGTGGAATAGATTACCCTCTCTCAGGGAGTGTTTGGATTGATGACTGTGGCAGACGAGTGGACCAATCATCCAGCTTTCCACCGATGCGCGTGCGCATAACTGATTGCCGAATTTCCAGCGATACACAGCGTTTGCTGCCTCGTAAGGCCAATCGATCCTAGTTGTGTACAGCACTTCGCCAACTAAGCAAACCCCATCGTGCATGCCTAGGTGCTTGCAGTACCGTATAAACGCATTTGCCAGGAAAGTGTTCGTGATGCCCACACAGCTCCTAACTTACACGGGCGCAGCGATGGGGAGCTGCTTACGTTCATGAAGGTGGCACATCTGTGCAGCCCACCAAGCGGTATCGCACTCGGCATGAACGGCGGTGCGATGTGTTTGTGATGTACGCACACCACTAGCAGCGCTGGAACACATGCACTACTGAGCACTTTGCTGGAGATACTTGTTAAAAGGGTGGTCGGTTATTCAGCCACACTAGCACGTTTGCTGCCTGCCGATATCTCGCCACCGTGCATTTCTAGTGCTTATATATAAAGACACCCCACTGACAGTTATGATGGCCCTCTCATAATTTTAGTATACCACATCACACACTGGATTTCCGGCAAAGCGGCCTTTCGGGCTCTGCTACACCCACAAATTGATCCGACTCGCAAAAGTATAGTAAGTTTAAACAAGCACAGCAGTGGTGGTGGCCTTAATTAATGCCGTACTGGACCAGAAAGTCCAACAAGTTGGTGTAAGATTTTCAGCATCAGAATTTTCGAATGATTTTATACAGTTACGTTTATGGGGTCAATTAGGTCGGCTGGACTCACAGGGAGTATGCTTGTAGTTAAGAAAGTATGATTAGCAAGGGGAAACAAAACCAAACAAGACAACAGGGTGCACGTAAGGGAGGTCGACGTGAAGCGCGTGAGCTTCGGAACACAGACGAGTGAACCGAAAAGCACAGGACGTTTGTACTGAGGAGACCAAATGGACTGACATGGTATCACCAGACCAGCTGGAATGAGCTTGGCGGTTTCGTGCGGTGAATGAATGTTCCAGTCTAGGCCATGTGAACTGTAAAGCATGCGGCTCTTGCGATAGCAATTATATGAACACTATCATCGGAATTTCGTGGTCGCCGCTAATCTGTACAAAGTCCAAACCGATGACATAGCTTACCCATCGTCTGCTTTACGTGCGAGTAAAAGCGCGCTAGTTAGGGACAAACGCGGCTGAAGCAGAGATGAAACGACCGGACAGTCACCGTGACGCGAAGGGCACATGCGATAACATCGCTTCGTGTGTAAGGCCCGTCATGAGTGTCGTCGCTTGCTTACGAGTTATTTTGTCGTGTAAAGGACAATGGTACAGTCCTGCGGACCACTCGCCTTCCCTCAGCTCAGCCTTCTTCACTGGTAGCCCGGACCCGGACGCATTAGAAAATTACACAGGCACTTTTTTCAGCAACCCTTGCGGATGATTTAAAAAAAAAAAAAAAAACAGCACGAAAAGTTGGAGGGAAAAGGTAAGGATATGGGGGAGGAGCGCTTGATAAGGGGGATGGGGGTAAAAGAGACAGTGAAAGGAAAAAACAGTCGAATTAAAAAAAGAGAGAAAAGTAAAGAAAAAGTTCTGACTTGCAAAAAGGAGAAGCGCTGGTTAATCCTGGCAAGCGGCTTAAAAAAGCCCTGCCATTAGGTTCGATGAACCCTTGCGGAAGCACGGTTCAGCTTAGCTCGTTGAGGGAGCACAGAAAGGGGATGCATAATGGAAAGGTACAGGAAGTGTGTGGTGAGGGGTGGACATAAGCATATGCAGTTTCCGTTCGGGGTACAGGTGGGAGAGAGTGAAGGGCCATCACCGCGTCGTTCCCCCCCTCCCTGTCCGTCCGAATTGCCGTGCCCCTCCTTCCCTATTATGTCAATGTAAAGGGTTGACTGTGCGCTCCCCCCACCCCAAAGGTTAACGTTGGCATGCCTAAGGGCGTGGGTGCGTCCGTACGATGGAGCAGCCCCAAAGAGGGCTGCGCGTTCGTCCGTGCGTGTGCCCGCTTGCAAACGCACGCTCACCCAGCCGCTCAAGAAAGCGCTCCTGCCAGAAGCACTGGCTCTTCCTTTTTTTTTTTCTCTCTCTCAGGTGCGCTGTGGCACCGGCAACGCAAAATATGCAGCCCGCATGGTAAATGTGAACTACGTCCCAGTCGGCATTCTTGGAAAACACCAGCGTGAAATGAGTACGAGGTGGGTTCTTTTTTGTACGCTACAATCTCCTCTAGTGTGTCATATCAAACGTAAACATTGGGCAGTTGTCGGCCTGGCACGAAAACCAGGACCATGACGGGACGGGGCGTTTTACGGCTGCGTGAATGGCCGACTGCTCACTTCCTACATAGGGAAACCCAGAATTACCAAGAAATTGATTGATTGATATGCGGAGGGCTCCGGGAATTTTGACCACTTGTGGTTCTTTAATGTGCACCCGGATCTGGGCACACGGGCCTACAAAATTTCCGCTTCCATCGGAAATGCAACCGCCGCAGCCAGGATTCGACTCCGTGACCTGCTGGTCAGCAGCCGAGTACCTTAGCTACTAGACTACCGATGCGGGGCAAGTTTCCAAGAAAGCATGCGGCACAGAAATGACCTCTGTCAGTTGAGCAGTGAACAGAGTGCACAGCACTGCGAGCAGTCTGACCACCATCACTTCCTGGAATGCTGGCATATTCAACAGCCAGCAAAAACATCAACCCTACCACGGGGTAACTACCCTCTCTCTAATACAATAGAGTTTTCTTTTTTTTTTTTTTCGTTGATGTGCGTGACCTTCAGAAACTGCACAGCCATGCCCGCTTTCGCTGCTCTTACTTGACGGGCCACATGTTCTGGTGCTATTTTCGCATCTCGAAAACGTACATTGAGCCGAGTTGAACCTTGCTACCATCGTTTAAAAAAAAAGATTCCTTTTTACTACGAAGCCCAACAACTTTGCTCAAGTGGCCAGACAAACCACTGGAAGCGCGGGGCAATACTGGATTTCCGGGAGATTTTCCTATGACCTTTACAACCGGGAGAAACGTTCAAAGTCCGGGAGTCTCCTGGGTAATCTGGGAGACTTGGCAGGTATGCTTTGGGTGTTGTGGTGATAATTTATGCAAACTGTGCGACCATTCAAACCTACCCTTTGATGTTGGATTAGCCCAATCACTATCTTCTTACAATTCAGAATGTGTGTACTCTACAATCCTAATCAACGCCTCTTCTAGAAGATGCCTGCCGTGCAAGCCGAAAACCTGCAGCCCTTTTTCACCCCTCCTTTCTCCTTTCTGTAAGGGCAGTAGCTGGAGATCCTTGGTGTGACCGCTAATAAAACGAAACTGACGGGACGCACAAAACAAATTTGGTTGCAGTGGAATAAAAAAAAACATAGCTGATCTGAGCTAGCAAAGCAAAGGAATGTTTATTCTGAAAATCCAAACAGTGTCTGCTGCTTCATTTTCTTTGCCAGCAGCGTCACGACGCAATTCTCACCCGTGCATAGGGAGGCCATGGTGAAAACCACGCTGAAACAATGCCTACAACCCCTTTCGTGAATAAACCAAGCAGTTGCATTAACTTGTTAACACCAGCAGCTGTCCGCCGTCAAAGTGTATCTGACAATGCCAAGACGGAGACAGGGTATGGTAGAGCGGTGACTTTTGCCACATTCTATGCCATTCTTATCACCAATCACTCGCGGCTAGCTGATTTTGTTGATAATGCGGACGAACAGCCACACTAATTAGGTACCATACTGGCCAAGCTCGAATAAAATGATAAGCATTGAAATCGGAAAAGGCATGGTTCCGCGTTTGCACCCAGCAGCTGTGTGAAGGAAACTGAGCGACTGAGCTTCAGCTTTGGATCGTCTGCGGCTCAAAAGCAAGCCAGTGGCAAAAGCAGGGAAGTCTCATTGCCATCGCTGTCGTGCAATAACGGCGCCCGTGCTTCTTGAACAGCGACCGTTTCTGGTGGTGCCAATGCGTGTTTTAGACTTCATCCATGTATTTGAAGGTTCTGAAAATGCATCAAAATGCTAAAGATTGCGTTTACTCTACAGTAATAATTATGTGAGCCCGGAATGGCATCCTGAAACTTTATTGAAGCGGGACTGCAGAAGAAAAAGTGTTCGCTGTGGTGACAATACTTATGCATTGACTCCTATGGACTGCTGACGAGGAACGGTGAATTTTCCCGTTGAAGCAGAAATTTCGTTGAAGCGGCATTTGTTGTAGTGAGTTTTGACTGTAATAATTCTTGGAGTTTAACGCTCCAAACCACCATATGAGCGTAGTGGAGGGCTCCGGAAATTTCGCCCACCTGAAGTTCTGTAGCCTGCACCTAAATCTAAGCATACGGGCCTCAAGCATTTTCGCCTCCATTGAAAAATGATGAGATTCGATCCTGCGACCTGTGGGCCAGCAGCCAAGTGCCCTAGCAGGTAGACCACCGTGGCGGGTTTGCAGTGGCTACTTGCAACACATGTGCACACACAGACACACTACCGTCCATGACGCCACATGCCCCCCCCCCCCCCCCCCCCCGCCCCATAAAAAAACAAGGGGGAGAGCGTGGTGCCATCGTTGGTAAGTAGCCGCAACTAAAGGCAGCACTGCTACGATGGGATAGCGCCGCACGCATCTTTCTACCAGAGGCGTTGTCCTAATATTAGCTGCAGCATTCCTGAACAAGAGGTGCGCTCTGCACGACTCGACGCACCACTCGGGTATCTTCAGCCTGCTATAAGAGACATGCTCTGCACAGTGCGACGCACCATTCAGGTGGCTGCAGCTTGAACATGCATTCGGCTGCCTGGATGGCTTTGGTGTAGTTCTCAGCCAGGAAACTAATCTCGAAGAAGGTGGCCACGTCCCAGTAGTCCAACAAGTTGTCCAGCGAGCCCTTCAGCCCGATGAGGTTGTTGAGCCGCAGGCTAATATGTTGCAGCTCTGTTGACTCCGACAGCTCGTGTCCGTCGATGACTAGCAGTGTGGCCAGGTTCACGCCGGCATACTCGTTGGGTTGGACCTCGAATCCTCTGCGATACCTGCGATGAATGCTGCATTTACTCGATTGCAAAGCGACTACAACTGTGACTCAAGGGGCGACTTTTCACTGTGTCTAAAAAGTAGAAAATAAAAAAAATAATGAAAAATGTGTGCATAGTTCCCTTTTCTAGGCAATTTGAATTTCGTTATTCGACTGTAATGCAAAGGTCGACTTCAAGCTGCAGTAACCTAGAAAAAGAAAAACTCTTGTTACATGTGGGTGAATACGGTAGGTTTCGATATGGTGAACTAGCTGAAAAATATAGAGGCACTATGCTGACAGCGTGGTTGTGCAGGCACTATATAAATTAATTTACCTATTTAACGATTGAATTTATCCTGAATTATTTCACTGAAAGTTTGTTGTGTTCCAAGCACCCCTGTGTCACGAGCGAGCCTCCGAACCCGCGAAGGACCGGATGCTGAAACTGCTTCCAGATGTTGACTCCTCCCCTTCCCCCGCTCGGCGCAAACGAGCCACCGTTCGTTTCCCCCGGGAGTTCGGCCGACATCGTAGCAGCGCTACAAGAGCACCATGACCCAAGGCCATCGGAGGTCTACTGTCGAGCCCGCTTCCAACGGCGAGACCAACTGGAAGGCGAAAAAGTGGCCGAATACGTAGCGGCTCTCAAAAAGCTCGCTGCTGACTGCAATTTCGGGACGTTGACTGCGACAGCTGCAGCTACTGCGCAGGAGGGAGGATCGACTGCCACACCTGCTAACACCACTATGCTCCCCTTGGACGTTATGTTGCGTGACCGTTTTGTGTGCGGACTGCGTGACGCAGGCCTACAACAACGCCTGTTCGCGGAGACGGGCCTCACCTTCTCCAAAGCCTACGACATCGCCCAACGAGCGGAGAGTGCCGGTCACCAGCAGAGGGATATTCGACGGAACGTCGAGCCGGTGAATCACACCAATCAGCAGTCAGGTCATTCCACGTCTAAGGCGAAATCAAGCAGAAAGACACAGCGCTGTTGGCGATGCGACGACATGCACGATCCCCAGGTATGTCGATACAAGACAGCGACCTGCAATTTTTGCCAAAAACTGGGGCACATTGAAAGGGCATGCATCTCGAAGCGCAAACAGCTCGGACCGAAGACTTCAGTGCAATGGAACAACAATGTCGACGCACAGGAGGGCCAGACGCAAGATACAAGCCAAACAGCACTAACGTTATCGGCACTATATGACTTAAACGCCGTTGTGAACCTCGGAACGACACCGAAGATTACAACTGAAATTATGGTACACCAGCGCCCTATCAGGTTTGAGGTGGATTCCGGAGCAGCATGTATGCTCATCAGCGAGGACACTTTTCGCGCTACTTGGCGTGAGAACGCGCCAGCTCTCCAGCAAGACGACACGCAGCTCAGAACGTGGTCCGCACATTCCCTTCCACTGCTGGGCTGTGCCAACATAGACGTGTACTACAACGGGCAGATTCATCAGCTCCCTTTGCTAGTCTTCCACGGTTCTGGATCAAGCCTTTTAGGACGAAATTGGTTCACCCCCCTTGGAGTGGTCATTGGCGGAGCTCACCACACACTCAGTTATCCGTCAGTGGAGCAGCTTCAAGATAAGTACAAACTAATTTTCTCCGAAGAAATACCAGGGAACAACGGACCTCCAGTCACACTAGAGCTGCGGGAGGATGCGACGCCGAAATTTTTGAAAGCTAGGTTGGTGCCTTTCGCCCTACGAACGTCAGTCGAGAATGAGCTTGACCGACTGCAGGAACAAAGAATCATCGAACCGACGCAACATTCAGAATGGGCGACACCACTCGTTGTCGTCTGAAAGAAGAACGGTACCCTACGCCTCTGCGGAGACTACCGGAGCACTGTCAACCTGGCGACAAAAGCATCTTCCTACCCACTGCCGACACCGGAAGAGGTTTTTAGCACGCTTTGTGGTGGAAAAATCTTAAGCACCTTGGACTTGACACAAGCCTACCAGCAGCTGAAGTTGAGCGAATCAACGTCTGAACTGCTCACAATAAACACTATTAAGGGTCTTTACAAAGTTAAAAGGCTACCATTCGGAATATCTGCAGCGCCAGCAATCTTCCAGAAATTTATGGAGTCTACACTTAGCGGGATCCCAGGTGTTTGCGTCTACTTGGACGATGTTATTGTCGGTGGCACCTCCAATGAAGAGCACACAGAACGCTTGGAGCTCATTTTGGAAAGGCTAGCAAATGCTAATTTGCGCATCAGTAAAAAAAAATGTGTTTTTGCGGTGCCTGAAGTAAAGTTTCTTGGACATCAAATTGACGCGCAGGGTATCCATCCCACTGAAGACAAAGTGCGTGCAATCACCGAAGCACGAGCGCCTACTAACAAGCAAGAACTGCAGTCGTTTTTGGGGCTATTGACGTTCTACGACCGGTTCTTAGAACATCGAGCTACAGTGGCCAACGATCTATATCAGCTCCTGCAGAAAGAAGTCCCATGGACTTGGTCGCCACGCCACCAAGAGTCATTTGTTGCCCTTAAGCAACTACTTCGCAAGTCTACTGTTCTGCGACACTACGATGAAAGGAGACCCCTACTGCTAGCCTGTGACGCATCACCATACGGAGTGGGAGCAGTCCTCTCCCAAGTTGACGACCAGGGACGGAAAGCCCCGATCGCTTTTGCTTCGCGCACCCTATCGCAGGCAGAGAGGAATTATTCCCAGCTAGATAAAGAGGGACTGGCCATCGTCTACGCAGCAGATCACTTTCGGCAGTACATTACAGGCAGGAAAGTGATTTTCATAACAGATCACCGGCCCTTATTGGGTATTATGGGTCCCCAGAAGCCAATGCCACAGACATTGTCGCCGCGAATGACACGATGGTGCATCAAGATGTCGGCGTACGATTACGAACTCGTACATCGCAGTGGGAAGAAACACCAGAACACCGACGCACTAAGCCGCCTGCCGCTAGACACCACAATAGATGAACCATCCCCGCCGGGTGATATACTCATGTTCGAGGCGCTGCCGAACCCTCCACTAACAGCTGACACGATAGCAGCATCAACGCAGGAGTGCACTGTCTTGAAGGAAGTCTACGCAACTATACAAGAAGGCAACGTGCAGAAGCTAAAGGGTGAACACTTCAACGCTTACCGCAAGCGAGCTGCGGAGTTGAGCACTCATCGCGGTTGCGTCACCTTGAGATCAAGAGTTGTAATTCCAGCGGCACTTCGCAAACAGGCCATGTCGCTTGTCCACGCAGGTCATCGAGGCATTGTTGCCATGAAAAAGTGCGCCAGAAGTTATATGTGGTGGCCTGGTATCGACCATGATATAGAATTAACAGTTCACCATTGCCAGCCTTGCCAAGGCAACCACAGAAGCCCGCCAAGAGCCCCTATTCCTGAATGGGAAAGACCAGACACGCCTTGGCACACCCTGCACATTGATTTTGCTGGACCTATCGAAGGGTGTTCGTTCCTGGTGGTTGTAGACGCATACACCAAGTGGCTGGAGGTAAAACAAATGGCTACAATGACATCGGCAGCAGTTATCGACGCTCTGCGGTCGTTGTTTGCAACGTTTGGCCTACCGCCCAAGGTGGTCTCGGACAACAACACTCTGTTTGTGTCCACGGAGATTCTCAAGTTTTACAGCGACAACGACATCTCGTCTGTTACATCAGCTCCTTACCACCCGGCTACGAACGGACAAGCCGAGCGCTACGTGGCTGAGCTAAAGCGCGCCCTTACTAAAGACCAGACTGGGACAATGCAACGCCGCATCGCGCACTTTCTCTTCAGACAGCACAACACTGTTCAAAGCACTACTGATCAAACGCCAGCGAAATTGATGTTCGGACGAGAAATGAGAACCCAGCTGACAGCAATTGTCCCGGAGCCCTCAGCGAAAACACCGTCGGAGGAAGAAAAGCTCCCGCATAGCAGGAGAATTGAAAGTGGACAGCGCATATACGCCCGCCAGTTCCACAGAAAGCCCGGCTGGGTTGAAGCGACGGCACTCAAACGCATAGGTTTGCGGTCATGGCTCGTCGACATTGGTGGAAGGGCCACACGCCGCCACCTTAATCAGCTACGCCGTTCAGGTAATTTGCCAAGGGAACCTCCCATTCAAGCAGCCACCTCGACGGAAGCTTCGTTCCACTTAGCCTGGCATCTCGCACCAGATGAGTCGGCGCCGCCGCCCGCCGGCCCTCAACACAAGAGAAACGACACCTAGCGAGCGGAGGCTTCTCTTCCTAGTGCGTTCAGAGCGTCCACGCGCCCACGGCGGCCCCCAGATCGCTTCAAAGCGACAATCTAAGGAGGGAGGAGATGTTGTGTTCCAAGCCCCTCTGTGTCACGAGCGAGCCTCCGAACCCGCGGAGGACCGGATGCTGAAACTGCTTTCAGATGTTGACTCCTCCCCTTCCCCCGCTCGGCGCAAACGAGCCCCCGTTCGTTTCCCCCGGCAGTTCGGCCACCGCCTCCATCCGAATAGGAATAAACTTGTTTTTAACCGTTCGAGGCTGTCTGAGCTTTTTGGACTACCGCGACCAATGCAAACGTCTATGGGCCGACGACAACACCGGACATAACAAAGTTATAAAGTTTAATTGAGACAGGACATGCGTAGTATTGCAATTAACCCAAGTGTTACAATAGCAAAACACAGAGCATATGCATGTTTCAGTTGTTTTACAATGCATTGAGGCCGAAATATTGAGCAGAACAAGTTTTCAATATACAGTAAAACCTCGTTGTAACAAAGCAGGATATAACAAACTAATGGATATAACAAAGCAATTGTAAATCCTCTTGAAATTCCCATAGACTTCCATGTATTTAAGGGGAGATGCGGGTCGAAAAACGCGAGTTTTTTTCAAAATTACCAATTTTTTTATTTTCACTTGTTTTGGTAAGGTTAGTACCTCTACTGTTATGAAAAAAAAATGATACAGGTCGAAACTCAACTGGAAATGCTTTAAAATTGCATCTATAGAGCAAAAGGTGCCTGTTAAAAGGTCGAAAGTGTGCAGTCTTCGAGCACCTAGCCGCTGATAATGCGCCGCCGCTCGCCATTGTTGATTGCATGAGTCGAAGAGTCTAGCCTCACTCTTCGAATACCAGCAGTTTCTCTCGCTGATGCAGTGCAAGAAATAATAAAAGAAGCACTCTTCTGCGCGTCTTTCGAGCGCCGCGACTGACTTATCACATGGTACGAATCGGGGACCGCAATTGGCCGCTGCGCGCCTGTATGTGCTGTGAAACCTATTTGTGGGTTCCATGTCTTGTTAAGCAGCGCAGCTGAACAATGCTTTTTTCCTGCAATTAACTCCGTTATGAATAAAAAAAAAGTCATTGCTCGCAAGTGAAAGCCGTTGTGCAGCGCGCTCTGTAGGAATAGGCTACGAGCAGCTGGTCCGATTCGCGGCAGTTGTTGGCTTGCAAAAGCCAATGCATCGAAAGTCATTCACACCCGTCAGCCGGAAAGTTCGTGATGCGGCAATGGATGACGTGAGCGTCGATCTTGAGAGGTCGAAAGAGCTTACAGTGAGAAAACTTAGCAGGGACGACATTGCCATTATGTACGACGGTATGTGGCACAAACATGGCTGCAAAATGGCATGACACTGGACTTAGTTTGAATTTCGCAGTTCTGTCGAACTTTTTCCTAGCTTGCAGTTGGCACAAGGCTCTGCCAAATGGAGTGGAAGTTTGGCAAGCGGTTCATGGCCCTGCCTGTGAGCGAAATGTCTGTGAGGAGCCGGCTCGAAAAAGCCGAGAGGGACAAACTTATGGTACTGGCGTATTTTAGTCGCAGTGGCCACTACAAGAAGGTTTGTTCTTTTTGGTGTGCAAATTTGATCTGATTTGATGATATCTTTCATAAATAAAAACTCAATTTTAACTTTCAAACTCGTTTTTCCTAAACACAAATTTTGCCATTTTTTCCAATGTGCCCCTACTTTTTTGGGCACTTCTAATGCTGGGATCTGCATAAAATTTTGCCCAAATTTTTTCCAAAGTATGACAAATGCAATTATCTAGTTTAAATTTCAATATTTTATTGTATAATAAAAAACTTGTATGTATACCTTTACTAAGATAGGTGAAATATGGAATTTTTACGTCTATTATTTTTCACGCATATTACATATTTTGTATGTGCTTCCTAATTAGTTACTTCCACTCTACACTTTATTTGAAGTATTATGAACTATAAATGGTAAAAAATTACTGAAATTTAGGAATGAAAAGAGGGGGGGGGGGGGCAAAAGGGTTAAGGTTTTCACTTTGCCATGTTGCAGAGCTAAAAGTGTGTAACTTGCAAGAAAACTAATTATATATTTGAAATCAGCATTAAAAGTTCCATAAACAGCTCAAGTTTCATTGCTCTAGAGTGAATATTAAAAAATGTGTCTTTGAGTAGCGTCTCCCCTTAAAACCTAATTTTAACGAAGCAAAAAGTTTCTCACAATGACAATAACAAACCATTCTTTGATCAGCATTTACTGATAATTTTGGTATACATTAATTCAATTTATTATAGCGCGCAATGGTGTACGTCTCATCACACCTGTGGTAATTCAAAACTCGCGCCCTGCGCTCCCCGAAAGCCGCCTGCAGCCTGCCAACAAGCATGTGGGAACGAGTCTCCCCGACTCCTCTTTCCTCAGAAACTAATGAACTTGCCCGCACAGCAACACTGCGAGCGTGCGTGTCAGCCGACCTCCCCTCTCCTGTAGAACTCGTTCACCCGCCCGTGCATCTGACCTCCTTCTCCCCTTCAGCTCTGCGCTGGGGCCTCGCACGTCGCCGGGGCGGTGGAGATTGTGGGCATCGCTTTCATCCTTGTAGTTTTGTACTTGTAGTTTTGTACTTGTAGTTTTGTCCTTGTAGAAGCGGGCAATGTTGAAAGCCTGGCATCAAGAGAAAAAAAAGTGGCCGAAGATTTCGGCGATGTCACTGGCTGCCGCGGGCGACCAGGCCCAGACGTCATGGGACGCTCTCCTTGACGCTGACATTGTGCCTGACTGTGACACTTCCTGCATGTAGATCGGTGCTGATGCTGACACTGTGACAACTGAAGAGTTGTCAGATGCGAAAATTGTGCTCACGATGACGAGCGTGTCTGACGACAGTGAGGAATGTGTCGACACCCCGAAGGCTAATGTTGGCAAACCCGACACCCGCGCAAGCGCTAGGTGCGACAGACCTGTCGCTTCTTTGGTGCTTACGATCATGGCGAGGACGGACTCGAAATAGTTGCTGCAGCTGATAAAGCAGTCATCCGCGTGAAGAAGAGTCGGCAAAATACAATAATATTAAGGACTCTTTTTCTTTGAAGTGATCTGCCAGATGGTGTGCTGAATTTGGTGGAAATAAAGTGCATTGTTCTTTGTTATATTGCTATTTTTAGCCATCCGACGGCTGTTTTTCTCTGCGTGGCGGGCTGCTGTGATATTCATTGGTGTGTACATTCTCTCTTGCTGGCTAATTGTCGGTAAAAATGGATATTGGCTATAATAAACTAATGGTTATAACAAAGTAATTACAACTTGCCTTTCAACTTCATTATAACGAGATTTGACTGTAAACTTTTTTTGCTGGGTTAATGAAGCCCGTTTGAATGACTTTTGACTGTAATGCAAGATGTTGAATCGACTATGTGCACATGTGGAACCCTATTACTATCTTGAATAAAGAAAGAGATTTTTCTGCATGAAGGAAAGTTTTCATTTGGGATAGTTTGTACGGCACTATAATGTAATAAACAAGAGGACAGGCCAGGCGGTGCGCAATTGTTTTGTTACTCATTTATGCATTTTGCTCAGCGCAACAACATTAGAATTGCTGCATGAACAGTTAGAAAGTTAAAAGGACACTACAGAGGAAACCGATTTGTCAGTTATGAATACACACACACAATTCCAAAATCACCACACTCGCCACTAGAAGAAGCTTGGTAGTGTGAAAACGCGTAAAAATAAAATGTGGGTGGCGACGCCGCCTTGAAACTCCTGCATCAAATTCCGTGACGTCATAAATTTTGACAGTATTTCGTAAGGCTTATGTAGGTCCTCATGGGTAAAAATAAAAAACGTGATCTGCTGCAGGGCCAGAGACATAACGTACCAAGTTTCATGAAATTTTGTTGAGCCAACTTAAGCGAAATACAACAAATACATTTGAAATTTATGACCTCACACGTGTAAATCTTGGCGCGAAATTTAAAAATGAAACTTTGTCGCCGATTTTCTCCTCTAATAATGAACTTTGGAGTCCTCAGGGAACACTTTATTAATCTGAGTCCATTCATTATTTCCCTTCATTTTTTTAAAGCCCACAAGAATAAATTAACGCTAGTTCACAAGAACATACAAACATTAAGACATACTCATAATTTCTAGTGCAGACAAAAGACCCTGCTGCCATATTTATCTTAGGCAATTCTAGCAATTTTAGCAATAACGTGAATAATCCAAGCCACCAAGCATCAAAACAACGCAACCCCACCTGAACAACAGAAGTGTGGCGCACCGACATACAAAACAAAATGAGGAAGGCCAACCTGGCAATGATGACAGCTTTGAAAAACTGAAAATTGTTTTTGTTATGAAGCTATTCCAGGTACACTAATACTGATATAACAAATACAGATATAATAAATTATCTGCTACACAAAAATAGGTGGCTCATAGCTTTGCCATAACTGCATTTGCAAATGATCGTTTATAATGCATTTTCGTGCATAACGAAGTATTTTTGTGGCAGATGTGAATTTGTTATAATGAGGTTTTAGTGTTGGTAAACAGGGGCAGGTGCAGTTGACATACTGAGGCCGTTGTAGCGACGTCCCCGCGTGTAGGCTCCACGCCAGCCCAAAGCTTGCCCCCACGCTCCGCAACCACGCGACAACTCGCGCCGCAGCTGCAAAGCTGCCTCCAAGCACAGCGCTCGGGAAGCTTCACACGCGAGCTTTGAGCTGGGCAAAGCCTACCACCACTACAAGCACCTCAGTTTGTTGACGGCTTCGAACTTTGTTTACTAACCTGGAATAGGTCAATAGAGTTACATGAAAGCGCCAAAGTGCAAAAGGAGCAGTGGAAAATGCAAAAAGGTGAAGCAGACTGGGAGAACCTTATATGATTATTCATCTCATCTGCCCAAGCCCCTTTGTCTGCGTTTCTTTAACACTTCAGTAGCATTGTTGATGATCACTTGAATTCCAGCAATCAGCTAAGTGGTGCTGGTGTCTCCCACGTAATCTGGCAGTAAGAGAGAGAGAGAAAGCAACAAATTGGGCTCCATAAAATGGTGTTGCAGTGCAAATCAGGCATCTTGGATTCGCTTCAGTTTCGTCGGACTTTTGTAAATGCGTGTGACCCACCAGTGAATGGCGTTTTTGAGGCTCTCCTGGTCCGCGTAGTCTGACTCGACAAACTTGTCCTTGTAGATGCGCCCGCATAAGCACAGGATGTCCGGCACGTGATTTTCCTTCTTCTGCAGTGCAGACTTAATCACCTCCAAGGCAAGCTCGCGATCACCAGGCCGGTTACGCCTGGAAGAAGGCACACAAAGTAGACCCTTAGTAAACTGAAGTCTCTTAAATGGCACTACAGCTTAAATGGAGCAACTGGCTTTAGTACAATTGATTTTGTACTAGTGTTTTGCAAACCCTTCTTTAGCTCTCAGTAAATTGAAGTATTTTTGAATATAGTTTCCTAATCTAGCCACATTCGGTTATGTGACAGTCTACTGCACTCTCAATACATAACTCATCCTAGGAGTGAATTAGTTAATAATTTACAATTACACATTTATTGAGGATACTAGATGGCTTATGGCACAGCGCAAGAAATACTTCAGGTGAACCAACTATCTTAAAAAAAAGAAATTTTCCTACAAGACAGAAAAACTGCTTACACATACCTATTTAATGCAAATGCATATGCATGCTGGATGGCTGCTGATGACAAGAACTTCAAGTTTGGCACTGCCTTTAGGTCATCCACCAGCTTTACCATCGCATCGTAATCCTAGAATAAAGAATGAAAAAAAAAATCATAGGTCAGGCACTCAGTTGGCCAGAACCCTTGCTTTTCTACATTCCTAAAAAAAGTCGCAGTTCCTCTGCAAGAGCGTAGCCATGAATGTGAGCGCAACAAACTGGAATGCCAGGCGAAGAACAGCAAGCAGCATGAAACTTGCAGCGCACTGCTCAAGCACAAAAGACACACGAAAAGAACACATACAGGAGGAGCGCGAACTAATGTTGCAGCTGTTACTTTGTTGTGTTTGAGCAGCACAGTATGTGCTACATGACCATACTGTTCCATTTTAGCAATACAGACAGATGCACACCATCTTATATGGACATGCCAAGTGTTACAACTGAAATGCTCCTGCCACCTTTCGCAAGTCAACCTTTGCAACAGTGATGCAACTAGCTATGACCACTTGACTCATGGAAACAGATTCCACAAGGAATTCCTTCACTTCATGCACAACATTAGGCTATTGGTTCACATGTAATACACATATACAAACAAAATATTACACAATTCTGTGTCACAATATTAAAAAAAAGAGCAGCGCTCCTTCTGCGATGTAACCACTACATAGAGAGAAGTGACCTTTGTGTGCTCTGTAGCTTTCAGCACAAACTTTGCATGGAAAGCATAAGACAAGTCCACTTCCCACATCATGAGACAAGCATGCACATACGAGCGACCACGCGCTGTTGGGCGAAGTACAGGTGGGAGGAGCATGAGCATCGCAACGAACTAGGTGACAACCTTCAAAGCATGCGCTTCACGCCATCTCGGCGGCGATGCAGAGAATACGCTAAAATACCCACAAGCTGTGTGTCTCGGCACCAGCAAACGGTGTACATAAATAGCTTGCTGTCAGCATGCTGAAGGGCGTATGCTTCGTGGCCGAAGGTTCATATCTCCGAACACACACCCCGTAAAGTATTTTTCTGAAGCATTTCTCTCTTTGGTGTTCATGCATTCACACATGCATATGCGGGACATGACGGAAATTGCGACGTCAATGACAAAAACCAGCTGAGAGTCCATATAACTGCTTTCACAATAAAAGTACAAGGTAGCACAACATGATCGGCACAAATCACTGCTGAACAACTTATGACAGAGTATAGATACAAGACACAGAAAGCTGACAGTACAAAGAAAAGTCACCTAGCAATGAATGCCTCTAAAACAAAGATTCAGACAAAAATTAGCTGCAGAGAATACCATATTTATTTGAATGTAAAGGAAGTTTTGCCAGATTTTTGCTACCTAATGTCGACGGAATTTCTATTTTTTCTTGAGCACAGTGAAAGTCACTCCCAGCGTTACACTTTAGTAAATACGGCATCCCTGCTTGATAACTTCTCACAACTACTTCAATCCTCCATGGTTCCGGGAGCTTACCTGTCATTAGCGTATGTGTTGTTCGTAAGAGGAATACTTGACTTCACATGTTAAACTTGATTTTAAAAGAGCTTTCGTTCCGTTAGTAGTGTCAAGCTAATACACTCAAACTTCATTATAACGAATTTGTATCTTACATAAAAATAGGTTTGATATATCCGAAAATTAGTTATAAAAAAGTATATTACTAACATTATATATATTGCAAGACTATTCTAAATTTACTTCGTTATAACCAATATTTCTTTACATTTTGATTCGTTATCAGAGTCATTTATTTCAGATCAAACAAAGGAAAAAGTACATTGTGAAAATTATATAGTGGTTTGAGCGTAAATACAATGTTAGTTCTGCAAGTCTATCTTTCACTAGTCTCCTGAGGTCAAGCGAAACCAGAAACGAACCTGAATGTCTCTCAAGGAAAGGAGCATGCTCAGCACAACATCCCCGGATATGATGTGAGGGTCGTCCAGCCGCTTCCTGAAGCTTCGTACCACCTGTCAGAAGGGGTGAGAAAGAGAACAGCCTGTGCAACAGTGTCACTAACATATACAAGACTGATTAGGTGAACAGACACTCACGACCCACAACTTATATTCCATTCATCTCCTCTCCCACAATCTGAGTTTTCCACACCATCTTTCGCACCAAGTAGCACTTCCGTAAATCAGCCGTGTTCGGTGGAGTTAGATTAGCTCTATTTCAGCCTATGCCAGTTTATCAAACATTCCTTCTAGGTGCCTAATAAAGAAACACTAAAGAAAAATAACAATGTACATCAGACTGAAAAGACCAATGTTTTGGAACGTCTAAAATGGAATTATTTATCAATAACAATGCTCTACTTATCAGGAAATTAAGGTAAACATACAACACCATACACATCACGCATGGGACAGTTTGAAATGATCCAAATGACATCAGAAGCCCCAAATACAATTACCCACTAGTAATCAAACCAGCTGCAATAAAAAAAACGAACCTTCTGTGCATTACTACATATAAGAAAATGCTGCCTGCCCATTTATGCTTGATTCATGGAAAAAGGAACCGCTTAGCATTACCGTGGGGAATGGCCCAATTCTTTCGAAAATTCCGTTTTCACCTGGTTGGGCTGGATAGATGATGCCATCTAGCAGGGCACTCTTGAACTAGGCAAGCACAAAATTATTATTGCAGAAACACTGTGCATTCTACTTCTGGTGCAAATGCCTTGCAGTGACATAATTATGAATGAGCCCCCTTTTTAATCCTATTTCCCCCAACAAAAAATGCTAGGCAAATAAAACGTGTCTATGACTGTACAAAGCGTTACTAGATATGGATATCATCGTCCAGTAACCATACATTACTGCAACCCTTGACGTACGTCGGTGACCCCGCAGTAAAGACGGGCAACATTGGGAGAGGCAAGGCTACATCAAAAGGCCAGTTTTCAGGCAAGTGTATTCAAGTGTGCTAATGCCGTGCGGACCACTGAAATAAGATTTTCATTTCAAAGTATGCATTTCCTAGGGACGAAAGTAGCACTACCAGGTTTCTGGACCGCCATTTCAGTAATTAACGTTGACTTAAACCTCTGACGTCCAAAACTTATACTTGCTTTCTGGCTCTACCAGTTCGAAACTATTTTGCCAGTTTCTGACACAGCGAAGAAAAACACAAAGAGTGGAAGAAAAACTCACAGGATATTTATTTTTGCTCCTGCACTCTGCAGGCAACTCCTTTAGTGCTATTGGGGCAGTGCATGATACCGCTCAAAGCATTCTCCTGAATGCAGGCCAGGGTTGTTACTGCAGGTTTTGCAGAAAAGTAGTTTCCCTCCTGCCTCCTTTTGTTTGTCCATTGCTACAAATGGTGCAGTCCTTGCTGCTTCAACCTGGGAGCTTATAGATGAGAGGGCTCCTTCCATCTAGCCCTTCTTCCAGCTCTTCCCTTGCAGACATGCCCCGCTTTCAGGCTCCAGCCCTCATGTTGCCTACAAGCTGTTGGATGAGGTTGCAGCAGTACTGCAGGTGTCGCTGTTCATTCTGTCCATGATTCTGCAGCCATGTGCACTATAAAATAAAGCTGTTGACTACGAAAACTTTCAGAAGACAAAAAAAAAAAAAAGCTTTCTCCACCTTTACATCTCGCGACAAAATGCGCAGCACACACAGTAGTGATTTGCATGGCCAACTGCACCCATGTTTATTGAGTAGTCTCCATCGCCATCGCCATCGTCTTCGTCACTCGCTTCTGTTGAATCACTGCCATCACTGTCTGGTGGAGGCACGCTATTCTCTTCCACGCTAACGTGATCGCCGCTTTCACTAAGCACTGTAAAATGTGTGCTGTGAAAACGTGACCAGGCTTCTCAGTGAACAGCGCGCCAAGGAGTATGTTCTAGGCTTCATGCTGAACATAGTGCTGCACCCCCGTGTGAAAAAAGTAAACCTCAACAAACAAAACCCACTAATTCCTCAACAGATGGTGCTTTATGTATTTAAAGAAATCAACGCAACTTACAGTGAGAAAACCGCGTAATTTAAACCACGAACACCTTTTTTGGGCGGTATTGGACAGTGGATCACTTCGGCCATGCTGCTGCTGCCCGACAATGAACCACAAAGGGTAATATTGTTACAGAGAAGAAGTGAAAAAAGACGAGGGGGCGAAAACACCAACCCTGCAACAATATTTCTTTCAAGTAACTTATGAAAACGACATTACCATTTCACTGCTGTCGTCTATCTGCAAATCATGATGCTGCCTGCCATGAACCCAGAACACCATATGTCTGAAATGTTCATCTGTTTTAGTTTGTGTACCCACTCCTAGGTTATGTTCTGAAAATGCACCAGAATGTTCAAGATTTTAATCGCTGCCCGGCAAGAAATATCCATAGATAAAGCACAGAAAGTAGCCATTGTTCGTGCTCTCACAAATTACCACTAGCCGAGTCTACCACCTTACATCAGCTCTTCTAGTAGATTGACTCTGACTTACCAACCACATTGCACGAAATATTATGAAGCAAGAATCAGTCCTGCTAATGATGTGATGCTGACTCATTTGCGCAACTTAATCATTATCAATGATTCCTACTTTTACAGACCCCTTAATGTAAACTTCATGTATTTACTACATGAAGTATTAAAACACTGCAAGGAAGTTGCATACATCAATATACAGTCGAACCCTGCTACAACGAAACTGACGAGGCACCGGAAAAATTTTATTGAAGCAAGAATTTCATTGTAGTGAAATCGAAAAAGATATAGCTGGCCTGAGCTAGAAAAACAAAGGAACTCTTATTCCCTGAAATCAAAAAGCGTCTGCTGCTTCCTTTTCCATCCTAGCAGCGTCATGACGCGATTCTTACACATGCGTAGCGACGCCATGTTGAGAAGCACGATGAAGCAACAGCCACGACGGTTTTCGTAAACGAAACTAACAGTTGCACTAACACGCTAACACTAGAAGCTGTACGCCGTCAAAATCAGACACCACCGAGATGAAGGCATGGTATCGTGGAGCAAGACTTATGCCTTCTTCTATGCTATTCTTATTATTCGCTAGTTGCAGCTGGCCAATATTGTTGATAACATGGTGAACAGCCTTTTCGACCAGTGACCACACTAGCCAAGCGCGAAAAGTACTAAAAGCATTGACATCGGTAAAAAGCATTGCCCGCGATCACACCCTGCCGCAGCGTGTGTGGAACTCAATAAACTGAGTAACTGAGCTTCAGCTTCGGATTAGCTGTGGCGCAGAAGCAGTGATGGAAGTGCCTTTTTACTTTTTTTAGCACATTTTAGAGCAGGAAAAGTACTGTTTTGCAGCCATAAGTGTTTTCAGAACAGAAAAAGAAAAGCTAGTTTAGAGAAGCTATTGGTGTTTTAGAAGCAGATATTAAATTTGCCATACAATAATTGAAGTGCAAAGCATTGTCAAAGCATCTCATAAATATTATATTTCTTATGAAATATATTGAAGGTGCAACGATCAATATAAATTTCATGTAGCAAACAATGGCAGGTTGTCGAGAATGTGCTGTGAAATGAGCTACAATTTAAAATACTAGTACAGATGACATCCGATTTCCCGGACCCTCAAGGAACTGCAAAACATCTGGAAAAGCTGGCTGTCAGGAAAAACGAATGCCAGCAAAAATGCACTTTTTAATAGGTACTTTTCACTGACGGAGAGGGCCGCAGCAGAACTACAGGGTTCTCATTGCAATTCAGCAAATGAGTCGTAAAGGTGGCTCTAAAGAAGAGCCGAAAGAAAGAAAGAAAGAAAAAAATCCGATATGGCCGGCACTATTGCATTTCTAAACACCTAGGCGAAAAAAGAAAAGTTGCTTATTTTTGTTTGCACAGCGTTCCGCTTGCCCGCGATGATTTCTGCCTCAATTTCAGTTAACGTCATGCTGTCGCTATACACCGATGATAGTGTCAGTGCTCGCTAAAGCTTCGAGCTCGATGGATGTACAGGCGCTGCCTCGTTGATCTCATTGTCAGAGTAGTCCGAATCGTCCATAACTTCACGAATAATTTCATCATCATTAAATTCTGCACACAGCTCGAGGTATTCGTCAGTGTCAGTGAAGCCCTCAAAGGTTATCCCGGCTGGAATAGAAACACCGGCAATGTGCAGATCGTCGAAGGCAACGTCCGTGGGTGGATGTTCGTCGGACACGCTGTCCACTCTAGGCGAGACGGCTGTCTTGGCGTACAGTATGAAATCTTGCGTGGCGAAAACAGTTCCAGAGGGTCTGTTGGGTAACCACCTTCCCCGAGTCTGCAAGCATGCTTACGGCAGACTAAAAGTCAACAGCGCAGCTTTTTTGCAATTGACGGCGCACAGGCTGCACAGCATTATGCGGCCTAAGCTATGGCCAGAGGCTACGGCTGGCAACAGATTGGCATGCGCTGGATTGCGGCATTTTCGGTTTTGAAGTTACAACAGCCACAGCAATATGAATTTGAGGGTCTGAAAAACCACTAAGATGGCGGCATTGATAATGACTTCGAGGCTGCGGTTAAAAAAAGCCGGCCACCGGATGACAAAAGTTATAATAGACGTGCGGAATTTTAGACTTCTTAATATATTGATTCAATGGGGAACTTGACAGTGCCACAGATGAGTCCACGAAGTCAGGCCTGTCCAGAATTCCGGGTGTCCGAGAAATTGAACATCCACTGTATTTGTGGCAGAAATCAAATCAAAGCGCAAAAGCTGAGTGCCACAATTTTGGAGTAACTACAATCCCATATCATCATCATCAGCCTGCCTCGTCCACTGCAGGACAAAGGCCTCTCCCACGATCTGCCAGTTAACTCGGTCCTGTGCTTGCTGCTGCCATTTAAAACCTGCAAACTTCCTAATCTCATCTGCCCACCTAACTTTCTGTCTCCCTGTAAAACACTTGCCTTCTCTGGAAATCCATTTTATTACCCTTAATGACCAGCGGTTATCCTGTCTACACGCTACTGCCCAGCCCATGTTTATC